ACCTTTTTTGTTCAAACTAAGTTTTGGTGCAATCTTGACTATTAAGGCGGTTGCAGGCCGAGAGAAAGCTGAAAACGCACAGAACACAAGAATGCATTGGTTAACAGTGTTTTCCTAAAACTAGCACCTCAGGAAAGTACATTTATCTGTTTTATGATGGTATCATGGTTTGTGAATAGTTTTCCAACCTTTTTTGTTCAAACTAAGTTTTGGTGCTTTCTTGACTATTAAGGCGTTTTCATGCCGACAGAAGGCTTAAAACGCACAGAACACAAGAATGCATTGGTTAACAGTGTTTTTCTAAATCTAGCACCTCAGAAAGGTACATTCATCCTTTTCATGATGGTATCATGGTTTGTGAATAGTTTTCCAACCTTTTTTGTTCAAACTAAGTTTTGGTGCTTTCTTGACTATTAAGGCGTTTGCACGCCGAGAGAAAGCTGAAAACGCACAGAACACAAGAATGCACTTGTTCACAGTGTATGCATCAAACTATTACCTCAGGAACGTAAAATTCACAGTTTCATGATGGTATCATGGTTTGTGAATAGTTTCCCAACCCTTTTTGTTCAAACTAAGTTTTGGTGCTTTCTTGACTATTAAAGCTTTTGCAGAATGAGAGAATGCCCAAACCGTACAGCATGGACAAATGCACATTTTCATGATGCTTTTATTATATCAGAAGAGTTTTCATAAAGTTTCATAATGTCAGCGTTTGTTTTAAAAAATATATTTTTTCTTAAAACTGATTTTTCCATGAGAGTTTGGAGCTTGAAATGTGTTTATATTGTGAAAAAGTCATTTCTCTAATTCCCATGATAGCACAAGATTCCTGATGGGTCCCGACAGTTTGAGACTATTTTGAGAAATTCCCGATCAACGGTGCGGGAGGAGATGCCTGCCAAACTTTTGTACGGGAAGAGAACAAGGCGATAGGTATGTGAGATTAAAAGGGGGCAGCACGGTGATGTTATAGTTAGCAATGTCGCCTCACAGCAAGAAGGTTCTGAGTTCGACTCTGCCCAGTGGCCTTTCTGTGTGGAATCTGCACGTTCTCCCCGTATGTGAGATTACAAGGAGTTTGGCTCAGCTTCGCTGGCCACACTCAATAATAATAGCAAGTATGTGAGATTACAAGGAGTTTGGCTCAGCTTCGGTGGTGTGAGGTCTCAACCCCAGCGTGGTGGCAGGAGGCCGCAAGGGGGCGCCGAAGAACGCGACCTCCAGAGCCAATCACCGGAATTCGGAACACCCACGAGAGAGGAGACCTATAAGAGCAGGGCGACGCATCGAGCGAGTTGTGAGGTATTGCAAGTACGCTTCTCTGCTGAACCCTTTGTTTCTCTGCCCCTGAATTCCTATAGAACCAGTGAGCTTCCGTGTATCGACCTTCCGCCTTCTCTAGTGATGGTAAAGTGAAGCTTTCTGTACCAGTGAAGCTTTCCAGCCAATTCTATCGGAAAAAGGTTCATTCATTCAATGCATCGCAAACTCTATGATGACCTCTGCTGTTGAAAACTTGTAGTGCAAATGTTTTGAATAGCCTACCAGTATATTTTGGCCCAGTCTCTGTGGGTTGAACATGATTATAAAAAGTTGAACCAATAAATCATCTAATAAATACATGGATTCCTATATGAATAAAACTATTGTTTTTCAGGTTTGAATTGTGTCCTTGTTTGTGTATTTCAATTCTCTGGACATTGGGAAGAAGTGGAACAAACACTTATCTATGTGTCTTTCTGCACCTTTGTGCATGTATGTTTGTGATCATACTAGCAGAAGAATTAATAGAAGATATATATATATATATATATATATATATATATATATATATCTTCTATTAATTATATGTTATATGTAAGCAATTTTTGAGTCGGTTTCTTTTTGTAGATACTATTTCCCCCGCCTTAGAAAAAACGCGCTCACACTGCACGGATGAGGCAGGAATGCTCATAAGATTACGTGCGCATACAAATAGATGTGGGTACACATGTTTGTGTTTGACCCAATATTTTAGGGGTTCTTCACTCCGTGGAATGTTTGGTTCAGCCAAATATCGGGTGGTCTCCATAATAAACATAAACATCCATAATTACACAATACAAATGACAAAAGACTTTGCCTGCCTATTGCCAACCTTGTTAGAGGAAATCAAATTGAAGTGCTGCCACATCTCGGAGCGACCTATCTTTGCCACAGGTTCCATTGTAAATTTGCTCTTTGCTACGACTACTCGCAACAACACTGACTTTGACTGTATCAAACCGACAAGCCCGAACCCTGTTTCCAGCCCATTTGAATCAAATCGAAGCGGTCACGTGACTGTGCGCAGGCACAAAGCTTTGGACGTCACTGATCACGTGATCAGCAGCGAACGAACCGAGCACCGATACGTTTGCGTCGCCTTGCACTGGTTCATATTTCGACATAAGCTTCGAAGCAGGAGGGTCGGAGGTAACAACACTAGCCTTCTCTCGACTGCGAACCTGCCTATTCCCTGGATCAGATCTGTCTTTTGCCCCCCTGTGTCTCCGAACCACTGCCTGTCCCCGGATTCCCCGTATTGCCTGGTCCCTTGAGTCTACAGTTGCCTGTAGTCCTAAATAAACATTGAGAGCTCTGCTCTTGGGTCTGAGTCTGTCTCCAGAGTCCATTCATTACAGGTGGCCACACTCAATAATAGAAAGAGATTACTAGGAGTTTGGCTCAGCTTCGCTGGCCACACTCAATTAATTGTGTGTTATTGTGTTAATTGTGGGCTTTTGAGTCCTCCACACTCTGATTGGGTGTTTTTCCAACAAACTAGTTTCATAGGGGCATCTCCATATATTACATGTTCTAGTAGATTTTATATAAATATATTTATCCTTATATTATATTCACAATATTGTTATTGTATATTCGTAATAGTTACGATATGGTAGTTGTATCATATACTTAATATTGGTATATATATAAATAATATAACAAATATTAAATATTTAAAGTCATAATATTTTGCACATCTATTAAACATCGTCATACTGGGATGTTTACTGAAACCTTTTGGCCAAATTGGTTGGCCCTACCAAAACAATCTACCAGCCGCCACTGTTTCATTATGTTCTGTCTCTCGGTTGACTATACATAATGGACGATTAAAGCAGTCTTGCTTACTTGAACTTTATTGGTATGCAGTCATCAATACTCTGCCGTAGTACAGTTATCCGGGCCGCCCCATGTGTGTGGTGCACCCTCTAAATCCGTCCCCCCTACAACAGTACTACAATAAACGATCCTATTGTTACAGCCACAGCCTTTACATTACTTTAAAAAAATCTTATTGATTTGTCATAATGTAATGTCATATTTGTTTAACATTTTAAACTAACTGGGTTTTATTTTGAAGTTCGTGACAGGAAGTCCCAACATTTACGTTAACTACCAGTTGCTGGTGATTTTATTGCACGCTGCCGCTGACTTCCGGGATGTCAACTGAACTCTAGACGTCCACAAGTCGTTCAAGTTAGTGGGTCGGTGGTTTGTTGTCTTCGTTAACGTATACACACTTTGACCTATTGTACGAGGACTGCGTGCGTACATCAGACAAGTTGAGTATAAATCCCCTCCAAACCAGTTTGTGTACGATTTTGACGACTCAACAAATACACGCTGGTTTATATGAACACGTCGAGGTTTGTAGAGACTCACTTTAGCTGACATATTTTGTCTGTCTGAAAAATGGAAACCAACCATCCGACTTGCTATTTAAAAGGTAAGGTAGTCGCTTGTGACGTCGATGGATAACGAGTGTTCTCATCGCCTGTGGGTCTGACGCGACCCACAGGCGATCGTGGTAGTGTAGTTTGCCTCCAGCAGCTGCTAACACACATTGCGTCGCCTTTCCGCTGCTGCGTTCACACCAAAAGCGAAGCGAATTATTCGCGCGAGTAGATTCCATGCGAATGTTTGCGGGAAAAGCGAATTTTGAACGGGCGGCGCGGAGGACACGAAAGACGCGGCTCGGGGGAGTTCGGTAAAGTTAGCAAGATATTCACAGATTCAGACTTCACGGTTCAATAGCTCGTCAGCGAAACGAAACACAAACAACACCTCTCTGTAACCGTAGTGGTGTTGACAACCAACTACAATCGTTATTAACAACAATTTCACCAAAAAAGACCGCTCAGCGAGCTGGACGAATCATTTTGGTCTTAATGTGCAGCCGCTTTCGAGGCAAGTGCGCAGGGACTGTCTGCCAATTAAAATGCGTAAAAAAAATGTTGCAGAAATATTCAATACCTTCCCTGTTATGAATGGTAGCAAGACCAAAATGATTTTAAATAATAAGTGGGCCCATTATTGTTCTACTACAGTACTCATTTTAATAAAATGTGCTTTTGATTTGTAGTGATTCATTATTTTGAGTACTTAATGTAAACATTATTCAATAGCGTCACTCTTTTATAAAGTTAGCGCGACCAAAGTCCTGCCATACATCAATGGGCTTGTTCTTGTTGTACTACAGCTAATATTATCATTAAATATGCTTTGACTTTTTATTCAATAATTAATTCCTATTCAGTGTTTCGCCACTAGGGGATTGAAGTAAAGCAGTAGTTATTGAAAGATCTGCTTCTATACTGCAGAATATTTTTGATTGAAAAGTGTAGCAAGGCCAAAGTCATGGCGTACATCCATGGGTGTGTACTTGTTGTTGCTATTGACTAATTAAAATAATGTTCAGTATTTATGGCAAATATTATTCAATACCTCCACTGTTGTGAACAGTAGCATCCCCAAAATCATGTCATATGTCCATGCACGCGTTCTTGTTGTACTACACCTTTTACTTTGTTTTAAAATTGCTTCTGACAATTTTTTACGAATAATATTCAATATTTATGGCAAATAACTAGGGGTGTAACGATTCATTTTAACAACGATTCGATTCGAATCGCGATTCATGCTTGCCGATTCGATTCATGGACGATCTGGGTTAATTTAGAACGATTTGATTCGATTCCGTGACTTGAAATTCGTCGTGTTTCCGTGTTTTTTTATTTGGCTTCTACATATTCTACAAACGGTGACCGACTTATTTAGAACACCTCCGTGTTTGCAAAAGCCAAAATGTTTCCACGCGCTGGATCGATAAGTTAGTTTGTAAATGTCTTGCTCACACTCGTCTCCTCCATGCTGTGTTTTGTTGTTGTTCCGAGTCAAGCGTACTGTTGACGTGACAGGCAGACTGAATCGAGTAACGTTTAACGTGTCTAAAGTGCTAAAAAACAAACAAACCAACACACATCCATACCGTTTTTGTGCTTAACTCCAATGTGCAGTTTCCAAGTATCGATACAATCAATTATGTACCATTTCAATCGATTTGTAATCGATATATGTCGTCCGGAATGCCCATTTGCAAAGCACAGATCAATTCAGTTGGATCGCAGGAATACAAATCGATTAATCGATTCAGTGAATGAATCGTTACACCCCTACAATTAACGTTCAATAACTCCACTGTTATGGACCCTAGAACCACCAAAATCATGTCATATGTCAATGGGCTTTTAGCCATTGTACTACACCTTGTACTTTGTTTTAAAATTGCTTCTAACTCTTTTTTTATGAATATTTTTCAATATTTATGGCAAATAACGTTCAGTAACTCCACTGTTATGGACTGTAGAACAACCAAAATCAAGTCATATGTCTATGATCGTGTACCCATTGTACTACACCTTTTACTTTGTGTAGAAATAGCTTTTGACAATTTTCTATGAATATTCTTCAACATTTATGGCAAATAACGTTCAATAACTCCACTGTTATTGACCCCACCAAAATCATAGCATATGTCTATGATCGTGTACGCATTGTACTACACCTTTTACTTTATATAGAAATTGCTTCAGACAATTTTATATGAATATTATTCAATATTTATGGAAAATAACGTTCAATAACTCCACTGTTATGGACCCTAAAACCACCAAAATCATAGCATATGTCTATGGGCTTTCACCCATTGTACTACAACTTCTACATTGTTTTAAAATTGCTTCTGACTATCTTTTATGAATAATATTCAACATTTATTGCAAATAACGTTTAATAACCCATGTTGTGAATAGTAGCATCCCCCAAATCATGTCATATGTTCATGGGATTGTACCCATTGTAGTACACCCGTTATTTTGATTAAATGTGTTTTTGATTAAATATGTAGATTTTATTTAACCTTTTGATCCATAAGACGTATCGTAAAGACCTGTAAATAATTCGGCAAAATGTTGTTCAAGCATAAATATATGTTTATATTGTTATGTATTCTTTCTTTGAATTACATGAGTGACCAAGTTACAATGGCTCTTATCTTAATATGTGTTTTATATTTTATTGGTCAAGACAAACACAAAGTACAAAACATGGGTATACAATAGCACTATTTTGACCAAACCAATGATACTAGCAGACTTTAACCAATGACAGCTGGGTCAAATATTTTAAGAAGAAAAATTTAGTTTATATATAAGATCTTGTGCGTATATTAATCAGGCATGAAAATCCCTCACCTTTTGATGAAATTCGCCGTTTTGAAACCAAAATAGGTGACCTACGTGAATCGTGTAGATTCGATGAGTTTTTTCCCTTTGTGTCAGAAGGGAGCGCGAGATTCAGTGAATTTCGAACAGGGTGAATGATGGTTTTAATATTTTCTGGTATATCTAAGTTAAGTTACCCAGGAGCTTTGTTGACATAGACTTTGCTAACGTTAGCTACAGCTCGATGAATTAAACACAGCAGGAGAGAACGCGATGTTGGCCAGCTAGCTAAAGCTCCGGTGGAAAATGATTAGCTAACGCTACCGCTACACCCCCCTCGTCGTTCATTTTACTGAACGAGATTCAAAGAACCGAGTCGGTAAAATGGTCGGTAATATCGTTTGTGTTTCAACAACGTTTCGCTGACGAGCTATAAAATCTATGAATATATTGCTAACTTTACCGAACTGCGCGGGGGACGCTCAAAAAGCGAAAGGAGAAACGAACAAATCGACTTTTTGCCAAAGTTGATATGATGAAATGTGGGCAAAAAATTCCTGCAGGAGTCTGTTAAATTCACAGAGTTTCAAGTTCCGACGTTTGTGTAATTCACACAACAAATAAACAGTAGAAATAGTGGTTATTTCCATGGTGGTAACACGAGGGTAAATTATATATTGTATCACACGTGTGTCCGTACATAAATAAATGAATAAAATAGACTAGATAGGCTACAACAGCTTCATGCACTGGTTTGATTATTTGCCGTTGCATCCCAAGGAAATGTTCCATGTTTACCACAGCACAGCTCGCTCGCAGCGTTCAATGTCGGTTCTATACTGTAAAACTTCAATCAACATTTGTCACTATATTTATAACTATTTTCAGTTCATCTTTGTTTCAATCACTGAATGAAGCCTGTCATATTTGGGACAACAATCGCAACCTTAAATTGTTTGCAAACTCTTGATTGGCACACGGCATTTATTGTTGTCGTTCATTTGAGAGAGAGCTAGCTATCTATCTATCTTGGTCATTAGTTCATTTACTTTTTTGTGTAGGTAATATGTTTAAACTTAAATAAATTATCTATACAAGCAGTTATCTCGTTATATAAATTTGTCCTGTTATTGACGCGTCTAATGCGCAATCAGATATTCGAATAGATGTTTTTTTAAAGCGACTATTCAAACGTCCTTTTTGAGCAACCCTAAAGTAATGTCTTAGCTAGTGAGATTTCACTTTATTAGATCAGTACTGCTCCAATATTGATCTTGTCTATCAAAATGGGGAGAGAAAACATAATTTATTTAAAAATGTAGTGCGGCATTCACTAAAGCAATACTGACATGCTCATGGTTATACCAGTGTTAATTTCGTCAACGAAAACTATGACGAAAATTTTTCGTTAACGAACCTTTTTTCCATGACTAAGACGTGACGAAAACGATCTTAGAAAATATAAACTATGACTGAATCTATTCTAACTTTCGTTAACGAGACGAGACGAACATGTTCGTGACGAAGTCACAATACTTCCCCCCCTAAATTTGCACGCAGCTAACAGACAACAGACAGGCAAAGTACTATGGAATGCCGTTTTAGTCAAAATTAAATAAATGAGTAAATACATGAAATATGCATTTGAAATACATCATGAAATAAATAAATGAGGCAATAAATACATAAATATTAAATACATTTAATTATTTCATGGTACTTTTATTTCATAATGCCACTTTTCATTTCCAGAGTCTTTTATTTCATAATGCCACTTTTCATTTCACGTTTTTATATGCAAATCAGGGGGCGTGGCTACATCTAACATTCAGAACAGACAGAGCCGTGTGCAAAAGAAGTTTTTCCTACACTGTTTCCTGTTGTGAAAAAGTGTTCAAGTGTTATTAGCTGGCCAATGTTGTAGTTTGGTGCATTGACCTGCTTTCTGTACTCCCGCAGCAACATGAGTCTACAAGAGATCAATGAGAACGTGAAGCTGGCCCGCGAATACGCCTTGCTTGGGAACTATACCTCGGCCAGCGTTCTTTACCATGGCTTGCTGGACCAAATCAGGAAATATGTGTATACTGTGCGGGACAGCAGTTTTCAGCAGAGATGGCAGCAGGTAAATACAGCGCAAATAAACACATCAGACAAAACTTGAGCGCGAATGTTCATTGCACGGCGCTGTGGATAGCAGCCTCTAGAGCAGGGGTCTCAAACTCGCGGGCCAATTGCGGCCCTCGGGACGATATTTTGTGGCCCCCGCCTTCATATGAAAGTGTAATGTTAGTGCGGCCCGCGAGTTCTATATTGTAGCAACCTCGCTGTTAGCAGCCACTTACAACCTCCACCCCAGCGCCGACCGTTCCGTTCGCCGGTCGGGCCGTCAGTGTCATCCCCCCCGTCGGCCATAATGGTCTGGCCCGCGTTCGGTCGAGGTGGGCTGCATCTGGCCTGTACCTGACTTGAGTTTGAGACGCCTGCTCTAGAGTCTATGTGAGCCCGTGCACCCCAGACACAACATGTTTTGGCAACAGAAAACAGTACGCCGAAACCATCTGACGCAGGCCTTCACTCTGATAAACACCAAGTCAGTTACACAAAAACCATCCAACACCTAAATATCAATGTCTCTAACTACAAGTGCAGTTTTTTTAATGCACAGATCTGTCAATATCAATATAAATCATACAGACTATAAACAAGATATCCTAATCAGTCAGTCCATGTGTATATCAAATCAATATTATGTTTATATTTCTTTGCTCTGTTTGTGTTTTTTGACAACCTACTTACTTAATGTAATTGTGTATATTTTCGTTTTTTATTCTTGGTCATTGCTGCTTAATATATATATATTATTAGTTTTTTTTTTTGTTTTTTTTACTCAGATACATAACACCATAGTCCATTCTTTATTTTTATCTGTCCAGCTTTGTTGCCTTTCAATCTTGTGTTTTACTTTTTAGTTGTGGCAGGAAATCAGCGAAGAGAATCGACAAGTTCAGGAAATAATGTTGACCCTGGAGAACTTTCAACTTGACACAACGCCCGCTAAACCCAGTAACCATGACGATTGCGATATAAGGCCTGTGCACGTGGAGCAGCGGTATTGATTTGTTGTTTATTTCAGCTCTCAAGTCATTGTTCTTACTTAACTGTTTTCTTTTGCAACACATCGATTTGTGATCAAGGCTTGTGTGAGCTATTTGTGTGTTAGCAACAGCTCTGAGGTCATCATATGATTGGGATTAGTGAATGGGAGTCCCTGAGCCTGTTTTGTTCCTGCTCTGACCCCACAGAAAGGTGGCCTAGTGTTTTTAGCCTTCCAGTCCGGTCCAAAGCTAATTACATCACTTATAAGTTCCCTTAAGGCTGGCGCATGCTTCTGCGTTTGCGTCGTTGCGTCAACGCACCCGTTTCAATTCATGGTTCTGCGTGTGTTGCAGAGCAATTCACCACCAGAACAACAGGCGGAGTAACGTGTTTTGTTGAAGACGACCTAGAGACACGTCTATTTATTTATTTGTTTATTTATTTATCATAGACTTTATTGCCCTGTGCATCGCCACTACTCCTTTTCATCGCGGACACATTTGTCCCGTATTTTCCTCCACAACTTTGTGCACCTCTCGACCGGCAAACCGGCGTTTGCGGCAATCTCCCTCCGTGAATCCAACCCGCTTCTACAACCCGCCAATGACGGCTTGTATAAGCGGTCATATTTACGCATTTCTTCCAACAAAAGTTCTTCAATCTGATCCGTTCTCTCGTAAACATTCTTCGTTTTAATAATGGCGATATCGGGCTATGAAAGCGGAAATGTGAGACGTAAAGGATGTAGTTAGCGGACCAATCGCAGCCTAGTGCGCCGCGGGAGGCTTGCGTCGCTTTCGACGCAAGCCTAGAAAAATGGCTCAACACACGCAAGGAGGTGTGAAAAGCGACGCAAGGGACACGCAAGGGGGGCTTGCATCTGCGTCGCTCTGAAAACGCAGAAGCATAAACTAGGCTTTAGGAGGAATAAACCCACAAATAAAAAACTTTAAATCATATAATTGTTTGGAACAGCAGAGTAAACAGGAAATTTACCTAAAGATGTGGATGGTTGTGGACTTCTCTTTTCCACAGACATTCTCCATGTCCTGTCAGGCGGCCAGCCAACCAGTATAAAGACAGCAAACCAACCAACAACAGGCTGAGCGTGGCTGTGAGGGCCCAACAGAGGCCCTCGGCCCGTGCGTCCAATGGGGACCGAGGCAAAGCATCCAAAGGCAAAGAGAAGAGAGAGTCAAAGGAGGCCGCCGGCAAAGTAAAGGATGACAAGGTGAGCAACGTGACGCGCTCATTATATTGCATCAAATATATTTAGGTCTATTGAAATTGTTGATTTAAACCAGAGTTCTCAACCTTTTTGACCTTGGGGACCAACAAGTACAAAGTGGCCTGGGGCCCATTCAAATATTAACACTGTCTTGGATTAACTAATTGATATCACTCTAGGTTGTATTTGTATTCAATGACTAAATAACATAATAAAAGTTTAACAAGCAAAAATCTGATACAGTGATCATCACAAGGACATTTAATTATTATCTGTATGTAAACCTGCACAAACAACCATACCTAATAATTCATGGAACAAATAAAGTAAATGTAATAATAATTTAAAAGACGCCAGCCAGGCTTAACACAAAAAACTCTTACTACAGACAAAAACTGAAATTTAATAATCCGCCCCATTCTTCTCAGTTTACAAAGCCGCACTTCATAAAGTCAGGATTGTAACCTACGTAGAAATGTTGACTTGTGGGGAAGTTTGACACCACTTTCCTCTTCATTTTTTCTTTTTAAATACTTCTCACAGACCGAGCTAGCGGCTGTCTGTCTTTTTTCTGCTTTTTGGAGCTGTTTAAACAACTGACTTACTCATTACCGCCACCAAGAGGTGGGAAGCACTTAGCGTCTCATGGACAACTAATATCTCTGGTCAAATGGAAAGGTTTTTGTCCCTCTAGGTGGCGCTCGCGGCCTAATCAGGGGCCCTATAGTTAAGAATCACTGGATTAAACAGTGCTTCCTTACCCCCTATTTCCATTAGTTTCGGTCTGGAGTAAAGCAAACATAAAGGGAACAGAGAAGAGCAATTAAGTTAGTTTATTTTTGTCTGCCTTCCAGAACAAAGCAGATGTCCAGGAGAAAGAAGTGAAGAAGTTTGACGGGGCGGGATACGATAAAGACCTTGTGGACGCTTTGGAGAGAGATATTATATCTCAGAATCCAAATGTGAGATGGTATGTGCTCAGTAGAGTTGTGGGTGTAGTTTTTGGGTAGTGAATTTGTTTGTTGTCTTAGCAGCTGACTCCTGCTTCCCGTCCTTGTAGTCAGCCAGGCTCAATTTGTCAGAGATTACATTACATTACAGGTCATTTAGCAGACGCTTTTATCCAAAGCGACTTACATCACACCCATGGCTTTTTCACATTTTGCCTAGGGAGCAATTAGGGGTTAGGTGTCTTGCTCAGGGACACTTCGACATGGATCATGGGGCAGAGATGATCCTATGTACTAGACGCAGAGAGAAGACAAGATCATATCACTCTTCTTGTATCTTATGTGTGATGGAAAACAAATCAATTTCAATGCATCTAAAATTATAATCTAATTCATAACTTTAAAAAGGATTTTTAGTCTTGTAAGCACTTAACATGAAGCTACATTAGACTGAAACCAATCCCACGGATGATCTTGGGAAAATACTAGCCCCATCTGTAACAAATTTAGCGAAACTGGCCAACCACTTGAATGTTACGTTATTGAAAATAGCAAATTCAAGAAATGCTATAAAAAAAATGTTAAAGCTGTAAGTTAAATTACTTGTATATATTATTATTATTACGGTTGTTGAAAAAATTGACTGGACTGTAACATCAACTATTAGTTGTTAGTTGTTAAGTTATTTTTGCAGTTGTCAACAACAAAAGGAGAATCTTCTCATACCATCATTTCAAACCTAAATTATTACAACAAGTGGTTGTATTGCACCAGTTTCTGTTATAATTTATCTTTTTAAAAGGCAGTCTGAAATCGTCTTCAAATCGCCCAGCCTCACGTTGTCAGTATGATACAGTAAGGACTGCTTTTTGGACTTCACTCTCTATTCTTGGCAGACAGAAAACCTCCTCATCATGTTGAAAACAAACCTAACAAGAAGCGTAGGTAATATGGTGTCTATCAAGCGGCTTGTTTGGGATGATCCCGTGTAATATCTGTGCACTTTGTTTCTTAGGGACAACATTGCAGACCTGGAAGATGCAAAAAAACTTCTGAAAGAAGCGGTCGTGTTGCCGATGTGGATGCCAGCATTTTTCAAAGGAATACGAAGACCGTGGAAGGTGTTAATTTAGATAGATTTGGGTTGCATTTGTTATGAAATACATACATACAACCTTTTTTTTACTGTTTGTTTTTTTTTACTTGAGGGAGTGCTTATGGTCGGACCACCCGGCACTGGGAAAACCCTTTTGGCTAAAGCAGTTGCCACCGAGTGCAGAACCACTTTCTTCAACGTCTCCTCATCCACTCTCACCTCTAAGTACAGAGGGGAATCGGAAAAGCTAGTTCGCCTTCTCTTTGAAATGGTGAGGCTTTGAATTGGCTTGCCCCCCCTTTTCTAGCATTCTCAATTGTTTGGGGTATATTTGGTATTCAGGATATCACTAAGGTTCAGGTGAGAGTTCAACTAAGTCTGAAAAAGCACTATGTACATTACATTGCAGTCCCCAGTAAAATGATTATGTTATACTAAAATAATAATATAAAGTATTTACTTCTCTCTCCTTGTATGCCTTTATGTAAATTTTCAATTCATTGTTTTGCTCAAAGTTGAGATTATTCATATTATATGAGGAAAACAGGTGGCTGGGTGAGGGAAACTGTTTCTAGTAAGCTATTTTTCTTCAGTTTGTTTGCAAAAACAAAGCTTAAAGAGAAAATGATTGGACTAGTTGGGTGGAAAATATGATGCATGACCCAGTAGCCATAAGTTAGTAAATTATGTCAAGTTTTCTGTGAATCTTTCTGCCGCTAATGGTCAGAAGTCAACAAAAACACCCTTTAAATTTGGATGTGAATTTGTGGATTGTGTTATGACGGGTATATTTTGCAGACCTAATCGGAATTAGGCACCTATTCTCACATTAAATTACACTTTCATTGACATTTGTACATTGATTTGTTGTGTTCTCGGTCAGGCTCGTTTTTACGCTCCCACTACGATCTTCATTGATGAAATTGACTCCATGTGCAGCCGCAGAGGGACCTCAGAGGAGCATGAGGCCAGCCGGAGAGTCAAGGCGGAACTACTGGTGCAGATGGATGGTATAATGACTGAGGCATAACGTAACCAATTGATACTTCTTATATTCGCTAAGAAATAGAATGCTGTAAGTCTAAAATGGTTCGACTACTTTTCTGAGGTAGAGCCGGTTTCTCTGCACAAATGTATGTGTGTCAACTTTTAACTGCAAAAACGAACCCAACACAAAATTGGAGCATTCATTTTTTCCCCCCTATTGTTACATCCGCTCCAGGTGTTGGTGGAGCGTCAGAAAACGAGGATCCATCAAAGATGGTTATGGTGCTGGCTGCTACCAACTTCCCGTGGGACATTGATGAAGCTCTGAGGAGACGGCTGGAGAAGAGGATTTACATCCCCCTGCCTTCAAGTACTCTTTAAAAAAAAAAAATGTTTATCATTTTTTTACGGAAAAAAAAAAAAGAGTGATCAAAGTTACCTCAGACTTATGGGAACGGTAAGCTTTTACTGTTCAACAATTAGCAGACAGCTTCAAACAGAAAGAACTGTTATTAGTTGCAGCCTAATTAACTGCAAAAGCTTAGCAAAGGAGGCCTCGGGGCCGAAATTATTCCCGCATACCATGCAATCTGTTTACTTTGCCTTTCCAGTACAGTGCACACAGCTTCAAGTTCTGGGCACCAATAACTAGTGCCGAGATCGAAAAGTGGCAGGTGGCATGTTCCGATCTCAGAACGGCATGGACCTCATTTATATGCAACCCCATGTAAATGAGTATCTTTTATGACAGTTTTTTCAACTGAAGATCTGTGCCGTGTTTGAAAATGTAGTAGTATTAGTCTTAACACACATTTTCATGAGATCAAGAGGGAAAATACACTGCTATGAAACATTTATCTTGGTGGAAAATAGGGAAGCATTGAATCAGACTGCCATAACGTTCATAATGGCTACATGCGATTACTAAGACTGAAATGCCGTTATCATATTACATTACATTACATGTCATTTAGTGGACGCTTTTATCCAAAGCGACATACAAGTGCATTCAACCATAGGGTACAAACTCAGGAGAACAAGAAACAAGAAAGTGCACTTTCCTCAAATAAGCCAATGTACAATTTGCTATAGATGAGTGACGTTACAAGTACAATTTAAGTGCTACAATTTGTTAGTCTTTAGTCGAGGTAGAGTCTGAAGAGGTATGTCTTTAGTTTGCGGCGGAAGATGTGAAGGCTCTCTGCGGTCCTGGTGTCTTCAGAGAGCTCGTTCCACCATTTTGGCGCAAGGACAGCAAAGAGTCGTGATCTAGTCGAGTGTTTTGCTCTCAGTGAGGGAGGAACGAGTAGTTTTGCAGATGCAGAGCGGAGAGTGCGGGTTGGGATGTAGGGTTTGACCAGGTCCTGGATGTAAGCTGGACCCGATCCATTCACAGCACGGTACGTGAGCACCAATGTTTTGAACTGGATGCGGGCAGCCACCGCTAGCTGAATCAGCGGAACATACCTCTAACCTAGACCACATAGGTCAAACACTTTATCTTTGGCCTGCAGGATAATATCTTTACTATTAGAGCTGACTCGATGGTATATTATAAATATAACGCATTACATGCATCATGCTGTAGGGATGTTTTTCAACAACAGCAACTAGCAAGGAAGTAGTAGACTAGTCAGGATTGAGGGAAAGTTGAATCGGAACATGCCACCTGCAACTTTTCAATCTTGGCGTCACTCCAATAACTTTAGGCCCAATTACTACTTGGTTCAAGGTCCGTTGTCACTTTTGGGTATTTTAACTACCAAATCATTTCTAAAGATCAGCTTGTAATGCAGGTCCACATGTCCTTATGATGGTTAATAATGTGCTTCGGTGGTGCATATTTCCAGGCTGCCACCGATGCTTCCTCTAATGTTCATCAGCCCCTTCCCCCCCGATTGCAGAAAGTCAGAATAGAAGTCCATAAGAAAAACGAAAAAAAGTAAACCGTGTGAATATGAGTTTATAGTCTCAATCTGAAGTCTTTTCAATACGGCATGATGGTCCCTTAGTAAACTATGGTCTATTTGGAGTCAAATAAATCACAAAGGAGGGTATGCTTTAGCTGGGCTACCTTTTGATTGACCGGTCCCTACCTGGATGTTCCAAGGACCCCAGACCAGTTGTCTGTGTTTGTAGTCTGAGTGGACTATGTATTCATGTTACCCGTTTGGTGGATATGTGGTATGCGGTATGCTGTGGGCCGAAAAACATTGAATTTCCTGCCTGCTTCACTCACTGCTGCATTGCTGTTTGCAGCCGAAGGTCGTGTGGAGCTGCTCAGGATCAACCTGACTGAGCTGGAGCTGGCGAGCAACGTGGACTTGGACAAGATTGCAGAGAAGTTGGAGGGTTACTCAGGAGCCGACATTACCAATGTGTGCAGGTCAGCCCCCACACTGTTTTCCATCCTTCACAGGTCTGATGTTACAGTAGTTGGGGGGTTTTAAACAGACGCAACAAAAAAAAATAGTGTCATTACTACAGACAAAACAGACTACACAATAGGGTGGGATCAAACCACACAAACCCAGTTACATATCATACTGCTTTCTCTCCCTGTGGTTCCTTTCTGTATCATATTCAATGCAAAATGAAGGCAGAAGTAATTTTAGAAATTGAAAAAATAAATTACAGTAGCTTTTTAAGTAGCAAAATCTTAGAACACAATTTGAATTTTGTAGAATCAATAAATAAGGTATCACAGGAGAGGAAGAACGAGAGAGAAGCCAAGGAGGGAGGGGAACAGATGGTGAGAACGGAAAAGGAGAGAGCTGTTAGGGTAAAGAAAGTTGAGGTGGTCCTGCTCCTAAACATATTTTCTATTAAAGTTGTGCGCCATTTTCTGAAATGCTTTTTATTCAGAACTTTTATCAAATTAATAATGGGAGCACAAAAGAGATTATACAGAAATGCGTTTAAAAACTTGTTATTCCAGAAACTACATTGATTTAAGATGGCTATGGCCAAATAATTATATTCTATGTAATTGTAGGAACCCTGGTTATTTTTGTAATAAAATGAATAAATAACCTCTGCGCCGCTCTCTGAAAAAATTCCCCTCAATGAAAGTGTTTAAATGAAAGCTGTCATTGCACTGTTATAGGGATGCCTCTTTGATGGCCATGAGGCGAAGAATCGAGGGCCTGACGCCAGAGGAGATCCGTAACATCTCCCGGGACGAGATGCACATGCCCACCACTATGGAGGACTTTGAGTCCGCTCTGAGAAAAGTGTCCAAATCCGTGTCTGCTACTGACCTGGAGAAGTATGAAAAGTGGATCGAAGAGTTCGGGTCCTGCTGAGAACCACCGATATCCGAAATGTGTAGCTATTGCTGTAAGATGATTTACTAGTTACTAGGTCGTGCAGTGTCTTTCAGCAAGATCCAGGTGTTATCAAAGAGTTTTGAGTGGCACCTCCTTATTGTACATCATGTTAAAATGATGTTCCGTTTTGCTAAAACAGGCACTCGAGACACCACTTGATGTCGGAAAATTTCTCATTTTGTTTTAAGGATCCTGAATTCATCTTACAAAATGAATTCAATGGTAGTAAGACGTAAATGTTCCTGCAGCAGACGATCTTTTACCGCTACTGTGCTTTCTCAAGTGTCATATATTCTTTGTACCATTGTGTTTAATCCTATTAAATGTTACTCATGGTTTGTCCCTTCTTGTTTTCTGAACATATTTGATTAAAGGTGTTACTGTGGGTTTTTTTCACATTTTGGAGATAACTGTATTGATTATGGGTATTTACATTGTTCTTCTGGCCTGTGTGCGCTTCTATCTTGCTTGTAAGTTTATTTTCCTGCAGTGTGTTAACGGTCTCTCAGCCTGCACAACCATAACAATTACATAAGACAAAGGCTTGATGGTCATAAGGAAAGCATTTAATCAGCAGGATTATAGACCCAAATACAGTCCAGCTGTAATTCATACAATGTATGCACACAAATGTCTCACATTGCCGTTTGTTTAAATGGGGGTTGGCACCAAACTTTAGTGATTTTATTATTCAGCATCATGCCGGACATTGTCTGCTTAACTGCTAATTTAGTGCCACCTAAAGCACAAAGCTGAATCAAGTTAATCAATTTGGAATTTGAGGCTGAACCAGAGACAGGTGGAGCTATTTTGAGTCAACATGCAGCTTCTTAGTTTTGTTGTGGAAAGCCAATCGAGCAGCAAAGTGCATTCACTAGCTAGACTACACATGCACCTTTTGGCTAATGCAGTACATCATGCGCTGTGCCCCATGAGCTGCAGAGGAGTAGTTGGACTAGGTATAAGGGGAACAAACAGATTTTTTTCTAATTTTTTCTTCAAATTTAGTATTTAATGAATAAACTTTTTACAAATAAACTATTTTGAAAATAAATATTTCCCCCCTTCTGCCTGGCCCTAACCCTCTACAATACAAGCTGGTGTTTTTATAGTAAAGACATAAAACAAAAATCCTTGTTGAAACATTTGGAGTTTTGGATTAATTAAACCCACCTTTTCAAGCAATAACTAAAACCATGCATGCAGTCCAGTTTTCACTCCGAAAGTCAAGACTAAGTGCAGATTCTACTCTTTAGCAATACTTTACACACTGAATTTGACATCAGTCCAGTCTCTGCATAGGCAATGTGAGGGACTTCCCTTCCCACTCTCCATTACTAATAAACAGGACTCCACACATCGTGTCAAAGAAAACCAATTGCAACCCCACTCACACCTGATAGTCACAGATAAACACAATCAATAAATGAGCCTCAATAGCAGAAAACAGGCCTTAAAATTAGGTGTTTTTTCATGTAGTGACATTCAGTTAAAAAAGGCCTCCTTGAATGTGCCAAAACAATATTTGTAATATTTCCAGAAAATGTAAAAAATCTTTGAAATTTTAGGTGAAATATTACTTAATTTCATATTTATATATCATATTAAGAAATGTGAATTCGTCTCTGGGTTCACTTAAAAGGAAGACAGTCAGGAGGCATCACTTGCCTCCTGTTAAATCATTTGTTGGGTAAACTCATCATGGTGCATTTCCTGCCTTGGTTTTCTTCACATTCAGCAGTGGGGTGTATTTTTGGGGGTAAAAAAAGCATAGTGGGAGAATAAATTGTGACCTGTACAGAGCTTCTACAGTACATCTAGAACATAATTTCAGTGAAAATAAAGACTCGAACTTGTCAGTTGCAGCCTCTGAAAATCCAGTTTGTTCATATTCATTGGCTGACCGTTCTCATATTTGTCTTCCAAGCCTGCCTTTTTTCCCTTTCTTTTTTTAGGTGGCCTCATCCGTGTTTGACATTTGAGGGACAAGCGCTAATGTCCTTTCAGGTTCTGCGTTAGATACAAGGGTCCAAGCACCAACTTTCTGCATCTTCTAGTCTAGACAATCACTGTGCCAGAAATAGTTTGGAAAGTCATCTTTTTTTACACTTTTGTACATACTCTAGATACATAACACGTAAGCTAGCTGTATGACATGACGTTGGTGTCAATCATAAGCCGATGCATGTAATCTTGAAGTTGTTTCTTTAAGTTTAAAACCACTAACAAACATGAAACTGTCTTCTTGCTTTTTACATTGTATACAGCAATGAAGAAAAATGTGTAAGGGTGAGCCTCTTTGCTACTGCATTTCTCTGAAGGGGCGAAACACCTGTGTACAGAATTAGGTCTTTTCTAGTAAAAAGCAACATGTCATATTAAAAGGAAAGTAACATTTGTGACATGAGTCATTGTGCCATGACGCGAGGGGTTTCCATAACATTTACCCTGAAAAACCACAGAGTGTGTCTTTGGTGACCTGTGAGCGTCGGTGCCGCAGCCCTATTGCTATTAAATCGCCCACTTTCTCTGCCAATTATATAATGGGACTAAATCTGTGGTGGACCAACAACAAACCGCCAGTCTGTATGAGGGTCTGCTCCTGATCTGTGGCTATGCTGCTTAAAGGGAATAACCGAGGGGGAAAAAAACACAACCACTTCACAAATCTGAATACAAGCTAGCGCAAATGCTGATAATGTGAGACAGTAACCGAGGTTAAAGAACAAATAAGAACAAACTGAAAGAAAAAAAAAGGAGCTGGCCAAGTCAATTCTCGTTCAGGGCTTATTCTGGTCTTCTTCTGGTCCCTCTAATTCTATACTCTCCAGCAGAGTATGTTTCTCCTCCTCCGGCATGAGAGTGACAGGATTTATGTGAAAGATGTGCCTGTGAAAGAGGGGACAAAAAGTTGAACATTTTGAAACTATTGAGTTTTACTATACTCAATAGTTGACTGACTATTGACAGCAGATGGAAATGAACCTCTCTGGCTAACTCGGGCTCACTTACAGTACAACTGATAATTAGTGTCCCTGCAAAAAAAATGAATAAATAAGAAAGGTCTGACGGTGACCAACGACATGGCTAAGCACACCTCACAGAACATTATTCACTCCCTCATAAACCCCACAACACAAACTCACTTATGTTCACAAGTCGGGAAGAACATGTCCAAGATCTTGACGATAACCGCTGACCCAACGACACCGATGACCACCACCCACATCACCAGGAAGAAGAGTGGCAGCGACTCAGAGCCGAAGCGCCTCAGATGCTCCCTCACTCCCTCCACCCACTGACACATGGCCTGAGGAACGGACGGACACAGGAGCCATGAGAATTTCTTGGTGCTACAAGAACTCAAGAGTGTTCCAGGCGAAAGGTTATAAAACAAACCAGAGTGAATTTATAAAGCTGCTTTCTGATTTCTCACTGGAATACAATTTGGTTAGCTAGCATGATGGATGAACATCTAGAAAAGTGCGGCATGTGATATTACTTCTTGTGGGAATGTGCAATTATATTGGTCAATAGTTTAAGTTAAAGCATGACATGCTCCTAACGCTTGGCAACATTTGGCACAGTTCAAAGACATCAGCACTGATCCTAGGGGTGCAGGGGGATAATAGGGCCACTGCTGTCAGCTCTGGCAAACTTACCTTGGCCTCCCACCTTCACAGGGTTTTACAATGAAGCATGTGAGTGCCCATATAAGTCATTGCTAGATGATTAATATCGTTTTGATTGTTTTGTAATAAACTGACTGATATCTCTTCCTAGCTTGCTTCAAACAGCCTGTCATCCCCCTAAACAACAAACCGCATTGACCACTGACTCAAAGTGTTTCTCAACTCCTCAGAGGCAGTCGTCAATTAGGGTCAGGTATCAGACTTGGCTTACAGAGTAAGAGGATATAGATTCTTTTGTTGGAGTTTCCATCTGAATCTGGTCCGGCTGCTTCGGCTTCCTGACATCAAAATCATCATCGTATCTGATGTCGTACAGAAGGTCGGGGTCCATGCGAAGCGGAGTCTCCGGGAGCTTTCCAGGTGCCGCAATCTCCTCCAGCGTAGTCTCTGTGTGCTTCAGGGGGTACTGGCTGGTGGTCTGCGACATCAGCTCTTCTTCGTCTGATTTTTAGAAAGTACAGGACGGTTTTAAAGCACACACTTAAATGGGCGGCTATGGAGTGTTTAGAGAAAAAGCACTGTGGTTTCGTACCTTTTCTGGGATTTGGCGTTTCCGTTACAAGCACGTCGTTCTCCCTGGGAAGCTTGAAGATCTCACTGTGTCCAATGGGGTAGATGTTGGTAAACTGAGCAAGCTTCTGGAAATCCGGGCTCATCAGGATTTTCACCTCACACATGTCAGGCTGCTGGACCTACAGGACCCAAAAGTGTGAAGTTGTATTCGAGTATTACTATTACAAATCATGTGGGTTTTTAGGGTATTATTTTCATCGTCAGTTCTGAAAGGATTTTACCCTATTAGTACATTTCAGATTTTGAGGTAAAAGAACAAACAAGGTTATAATCAATATATACATCAAAATATATTTGTTCTTCAATTATCTTGGTCCAAAGTTATTTACCTCTCTGCCATCCATCTCTATCACTTCACTGAACACCTGTAGAGCCACCACTTCCTCTGAATCGCTGTATAGCCGGTTCTGGCTCACCATCACCCGCGTGACAGTGGACACCAAGTCCCCAGACTCAAACTCACTGGTTCCATTGATGCCGTCTACTGGAAAAATACGATTCAAAGTACATGGTTATGACAATCTGCCAACCAGTGGACTTTCTGGAGGGTTAAGTTAGATTAGTACTTTCTTCTTGGGTTTGTTATCATGGTTTGGATGTGAGGAAAACTCACAGAGGAGTGCTTGACAGTTGAACCTGGTGACCCCTGACAGCTCTACTGGGATGTCATTGACCAGCACCTGTTCTTCGCCCACTGATATGTTTAAATTGATCTGGAAAGAAGAAACAACACTGTGAAGGCTGATTGGCCACCTTTACGGCTGCGATAACGTCAGAAAACTGGGCTTATAACGTAATGCAATACCTGCAAATTGTTGGAGTCTTGCTGCTGTGTATCCACAACCGTCCCCGCCGTCACATTTATTAGGATACTTTCCTAGAGATCAACAATTAAAAAGAAAAGCAAAATCAGACGTGAGGTTAGCAGCGCATTGGACGATGGGGTGGGCAGGGGGGGGCTAAGCTAAAATCAACATCATCAAGCTAGCAAGGTATGCTGTTGGTATGCTGTTGGTGGCACTTAAGTTACCGTATTCAGTTGCCTTGGCGAAGACTCCGCGCATGCCACTGAGACAAAAAGGAGAGCGATAACACTAATGGCTATCGTTAGACCTGTCGTTTCCATTTTCGCGAAAACAGCCAGTCGACAGAGTTAGCGTTAGTTAAAACAAAAACACTGAGCAAGACGTGTGAACTGCGCATGCGCAGGGAATTTCCGAACATTCTCGCGAGTTTAGGAACGAAAGAATGGCGGTGCTCCTTGAAACGACGTTAGGCGATATTGTTATTGATTTGTTCACAGAGGAAAGACCAAAAAGTAAGAAAATCCAATGGTTTGCTCTTAACGGCAGTTTACTTGGTGAACTGGTGGCCAGTTGAGTTAACGTTAGCCATTGATGCATCAAGCTGATGCAGTGTTTACGTTTAGTTTCTGCTAGCTTAGGCTGTTAGCTCGCCTGAGTCTATTCAGTTGTTTATTTTAGCATTATCTAACAGTTAAGTACCATTTCTTTACACCACAACTGGGATAAACCCTTTTTGTGGGCTTCTTTAATTTACGCCAAATAGACTATACGCGTCAAAAACTGTGAGACTATTTGAATGACGTTGGATTGACTCGGTTTATCCTATTGTGCTCTTTTATTTCGCAGCTTGCCTCAACTTCCTGAAACTATGCAAGATAAAGTACTACAACTATTGCCTCGTCCACAACGTCCAGGTAAAACTAAATGGCTCATTGACCACTTCTGTAACAACGGTAGTTGCAGTTATCAGTATCCCATATGTCAATAATCTAAGCAACACTGAGACCATTGCCCTTGGCCCGTATGGAGGCGTTTTAGAGTATCACGGGTCTTTTGCATACACCTTATTTACATTGCTATTGTGATCAAAGACTGCACATAGTGTTCACAACTTTGATTCTGAATTATACCCAGGAAAATGTTTAGCTTCCAAAGTCTCGTTAGAATCATATTGTCAGAGAATCCTTAAATCCATCCAAGCATAAGATCAAAACAAAGCAGGGTACAGTTTAGACTCTAAAGCAGGGGTCTCAAACTCAAATCAGCTGCGGGCCAGATGCAGCCCACTTCAACCGAACGCGGGCCAGACTAGCGTCCGAACGGCATGGTCGACAATAACACAACTTAACACTCACTTTCAAAAGCAGTCATTGAACCCCACCCTGGGGGATCGGTCCGAATGAGACTACAACACTAGTCCTCCTTTAACTCAGCGGGGGAGACCTAAGGTCATGTGACCGTGGAATTCCTTTATAGCCAAACGTGAAGTTACGTGAATCGAAGCTGCGTAGTAATGGACGGAGACGCTCGTCGGTGACGTCAGATGCTTCATGTGTTGTTAGTGTGAGTCGTAAAGGAAAACTTTATTAAACGAGCGATGCTAACGGTTAGTCACATGATCACCTGCGCGAAAGAGGGCAGGAAACTGAATTTCACCCTCCTGCTCTCTGCACCTCGGCCGACACACACGACCCGCCCCCCATGTCAGTCACATGCATGCCACGTTCACTGGACAAGCACACAGTAGGAAACCAGAATATCATAACATGTCCCACACAGCAGCTGACAGTGGGGTTACAGTATAAAACTTGCGGGCCGCACTAACATTACACTTTCATATTAAGGATGGGGCCACAAAATATCGTCCCGAGGGCCGCAATTGGCCCGCGGGCCGCGAGTTTGAGACCCCTGCTCTAAAGTGATGTGAAGTGTATCGTGGCTGGTCATGCACTGGTGTTAACACTGCTCTCATTATTTGTCTATCCAGCTTTAAGGGGGACACTGTTAGGATGCTATAACGCTGTGATTGTCTCCTTTTCAGAGAGACTTCATTGTGCAGACCGGAGATCCTACCGGGACAGGCCGGGGTGGAGAATCTATCTACAGGTCAGTCATCCTCACCACAGTAGTTAATTTTCTTTCTTTTTTTGACGCTTGAAGTTGAACACTGTCACGATCTTCTTCTCTCCTCCTCCTTTTTAAAATATTTTTTTTAGCAAAATCTATGGGGACCAGGCCCGCTTTTTTGATGTAGAGAAAGCGCCACGCATCAAACACAGGAAGAAAGGGACTGTGTCCATGGTGAACAACGGAAATGATCAACATGGCTCACAGGTAAATAGTCATGCTGTCTTAATTAACTACATCTGTCCTTAACAATTCCTGGAGTGGTCAATCTTGTGGCTGGTTGTACATAATATTTTTCAACATAAATCACATCAAATTTACAGATTAAATGCGCCATGCTGGGTGCGTTATATGATGTGTGTAATCTGATATTGTTGTCCTCAGTTCCTTATAACCATGGGTGAGAACTTGGACTACCTGGATGGAGTTCACACAGTGTTTGGGGAAGTGACAGAAGGCATGGACATCTTGGACAAAATCAATGAGACCTTCGTTGACAAGGACTTTGTTCCATTTCAGGATATCAGGTGAACTTGAGTTTTAACTGTACAGTCTGGTTCGTACCTCAATTCACCAATAACTGTTTATTACGGTTTATTTTGATCTATTTTGAACCATAAGGATAGACAATCAAAATCCCTTGCATGGGGACAGAGGGAGTGTTTCACCCTCTAGAGCTTTGCAATATTCTTTGCCCCACATTTTTCCAGTCATGACACAAGAATTTAATTTTGCTGCAGGATAAACCACACGGTGATCCTGGAAGACCCGCTCGATGACCCTCCCGATTTGCCAGTGCCTGATCGATCACCTGAACCCACCAAAGAGCAGCTAGATGTGGGTGCCGTGATTCTGTTCATTCATTAATTAAATTCATTGAAAGATTTTACTTTAGCTTCACCTCAGACATAAATAATAGCCACAGCACTGTCTTGATTTTCAATCACACACAAGCCGATATTCGGCCCTGGAGCCAGAAACCTCATCTGGATGAATCAATGTGACAAAATGTACATAGTGAATGTAAGAACAGCATTTACTGCCTCAATAACTACAACAGTCTCTCTGCAGAGCGGCAGAATTGGAGCTGACGAGGTGATCGATGATACGGATGGTAAAGCCGCAGAGGAGTTGGAGGAGAGGTTGAAGGAGAAAGAAGCCAAGACTCAGGCCATCCTGCTGGAGATGGTGAGGAGAAGAGAGAGGACCTCTTTCTTCAACTGGCGCTGTGCCGTTGGTACACTTTGAGTACTTAATACACTTTCTAATGTCATCCATTCCACAAGGTGGGCGACCTCCCTGATGCTGATATGAGGCCTCCAGAGAACGTGCTGTTTGTGTGCAAACTAAATCCGGTAACCACTGACGAGGATCTAGAAATTATCTTCTCCCGCTTTGGAACCATACAAAGGTGACACTGCAAAGTGTGTGTGTGCGTGCGTGTGTGTGTGCGCGTGCGTGCGCAAATTGTTTCTCATGTTTTTCTGTTTTGTGTAGCTGTGAGATCATCAGAGACTGGAAAAGTGGAGATTCCCTGTGTTACGCTTTCATTGAGTTTGATAAGGTCAGCATCTTTTGTTTCTACTTTCCTTAACATATCTAATGAAAACTGCACTTTTGTATTTTTAAGATCATTCTTTAGCTTCCTAGTGCCCCCTTATGTAATAAAGTCTGGAGAAGCCGGCAAGGTAAATTCCCACTCTAACACCAAACTAACCAATCGGTGCAGCGGTACAACCGCAACTCAGAGGTTGAGAATTACTCTATTTGTCTATGAACTCTAAAAGCCACCCGTTGAGGTTTTATGTGTTAAGCTCCAGAACAAATACTTGTGCCCGATAGATGCCGGGCACAGGCACTGAGTTTTGTTGTCAAGGGTTGCAATGTTTTGCACACATTGTTACACTGTATGATATCACTAAGTTGACATCAAATCTCATTATTTCACTCTCTGAAAAAAGGGAGCAAGTGGATTTTCCCACTGTGTTGAATAAGGGTGACTGAACAGAACACTGATGAAGTACAGCGCACATACTAAAAATATGTCACCTTTCCCGTAGGGATGTATTGTACACAGAGAAGTTTTGATGATTATTTTTATTTTTAGGGATTGTCCCCTTTTAACATCACTTTTTAGTGGTGTTTATGACATATGATAATATTTCTGAGGACAGGCGTGATCCATCATCTAGTGACAGAAGGAGAAAAAAAAACATTGCTCCATTGTTTGTTCTTTTTTATGAGGTGTTAATAATCATCACACGGGCTGCTGGAGTCATTTGGTAGAGAAGTATCATTTTAGAGTGAAGTTTGTTTGTAGCACGACAGTTTTATTTTTGATGTTGAAACGTTTTTATATATATATATATTGCAGCTGCAGAGATTAGACAATTGAGTTTGAGTAAAACATCTCTAATTTCATACATTTTATCCATCCGCGGCAATATGGGGATACTTAATCTCTTCCCATTTTTTCGACTGCTTTGATACTTTTTCTGTTTCAAACCATTTTTATGATAATACTCTGCAGATTGATGGATTATAGAAATAGTTACTAGTTGAGGCTCTTATAAAGATAACTACCATTCGGATCATCATATTATTACAAATTATAAACTCAACTGATTGTATTATGGTTAATGATCTTTTTACATCAACTGTTTCTACAGAACATGACCTTTGCTTATATTACACTTCCACTCTTTATTTATGCTCTCTGTCTCCAAAGCAAGAAGATTGTGAAAAGGCATATTTCAAAATGGACAACGTGCTGATCGATGATCGACGCATTCACGTAGACTTCAGCCAGTCGGTCGCAAAGATCAGATGGAAAGGCAAAGGTACTCTCACTGAAGGCTCTATGGTGTGCATGCTATGAATATATCTGTATTTGCACTGAATGGTGGACATGTTAACGCCATCCACCGCTAGTTTCCATATCACAGACTTCTGTCTTTCCTAGGTGGGAAGTATACTAAAGATGACTTCAAAGCCTACGAGAAGGATGTGGAGAACCGATCCAAACTTGCCCTCAAGGATCAAGTGAAGCCGAAACAAGAGTATCCTTTTGTGTTATTACGCAGAGGTTTCATTTTTCAGGCACTCCACTCCACTGCGCTCTCTAAACCAACATTTTTGATTTGCCAAGTTCTTTCAGCGCTGGTTTTCTCAACTTTCGGGAGCTTTGCCTTAACCTTCCGGAAAGTTCCAAGTATGACCTGATAATTGATGAAGAAGAGGAGGCGACAAGCCACCGGCACTCTGAGAAGAAGCACAAGGAGAAGAGGCACCATCATCATTCAGATGATGAGGACACCAGGAAGTCCAAAAAGCACAAGGTATCTCCAAGCCAACACTTTACTCTCTCTTTGGTTTGTAGGGTGGGGGGAAGTTGCAGTGTCACAAGCACAAAAAAATGTTTTATCACAAAAGTCCAGATTCCAGCTTGGGAGGGGCGTTGAGATTGTATGAAGTGTCTCCAAAAGCCATTACATTACATCTTCATGGCGCAAGATCACAACGGACGTAATTTAAGCTTCCCTTCCCCACAGAGCAGGTCTATACCTTGTTCTTTTATAAACAGACATGAATAGTCTGTGAAGTTTTTCACCCAGGGGAAACATTGGTATGCATTACATAGATGTGTTAATAATAGTGCTGATTTCAGAGCACCTCTATCTCTTCCACATGGCTCTCAAAATGCTCAAAATCCAGCTAATCCGGCACCTAGAAGCTAACGTTGCTAACAGCACTAAACAGCAGCAACGATGCCAACAAACCAATGAGCTAAATGCCCTTATGTCATTATTACATAAAGGTCTACAGTGTCTACACCAGTGTTGATTTTGTCCGCTATTTTTGATTTAGTCTTAGTCTTTCGATGAAAATGCATATTAGTTTTAGTCACATTTCTTCGCTTTAGTCTATGTGGCGTTTGAACTATAGTTGAAATGCGTCTGTCTCACGGTCAATGCGTGAGGCTTCAGAACCTGCAATGAGTTTATTATGTTAGACGTGTTTGGAGAAGCCTGTAACGGACCGTCTCATCCAGCCGAGAAAACGCTGCCTACAGTTGCCAGAGAACGGAGCACGCAGGTCCGCATGGATCTCTGATGGCTTTAATAACCTTCAATAACCGCCTTTACACAACAATAAACAATATAGAGAGATATAGAATTACACCCGCCAAAGTGGCTTGTGAGAGAAAGACTGCTTTACTTTCCACAGCAGAATTCCACCCGGATTAGGCTGGTCGGCGGGTGCTGATGTCAAGCCCTGACTATAAGTTTCCATTTAAGTGCTACTAAAATTGAAATTTAAAAAAAGTAATGTGACCACCAACATTTTTGTCTCGTCAACAAAAGTTAGAATAGATTTTGTCTTTTATTTTTGTTTTCGTCACGTCTCAGTCTCGTTTTAGTCATGGGAAAAAGTCGTTAACAAACATTTTTTGTCATAGTTTAAGCCCCTTTCCTACTGGGCATTGTAGATACCAACTAACATCTGGCTTTTCAGTGGAAACAGTTAAAATTGCAATTGTTCATTCACGTAAGAAATTATTCTGCATTCATTTTGGGTAGTTTTAGTTGGTCTCTGTCGAAGCAACACTCAAACGTTCCAAATTACTCAGTACCATGTTTGAGGAGAGACTGAATAAATAACATCGAAAAGACGAGTAACCATGGTAACATTTCAACGTCCCCCTCTCCGTTTTTAACTCTGTTATCTAATGTGTTCATGACTCCGAACGTGTCACACCAGTAGGGAGGCATACCTTTTGGCAATGGTAGGTGGTATCTTGTGCCTATTTCCTTATTGTAAAGACAACAAGGTAGCAATCTCTAACACTCGTTCCTGAAATATTCATTCATTCAAAGTTTCTGTATTAAGGTGAACTTTGTCAGTAGATTAAGCTTAGTCGTTAGTGTGACCGTAATTGGGTATGGATAGCCATACACACCAGAGCCTGTTCCAAAAACAGGTCTACAAATGACGTAGATGGAGCCTTGTTAAACCGCATCCTTAGAGCGGTAGGCACATACGTTTACAAAATATTTACTATGTAGCATGCAGTATACCAAAAAGATCAGATGTATTACTGTATCCAGTTGACTTAGCCAATCAGCGTTGAGATCTCTACAGTGTCTTCGTTTCCCCTCCAACTTTTCATCCTTTCACACCAAATCAGTGTTGTCAACTTCCAGTCACACTGAACTAAACGTGGTTAGAAGACTAGAAAAGCGCTATACAAGTACAGACCATTTACCATTTAACTTTGGGACTTTCCTGCTAAATCTGGCTAGATTTGACTTTCCAAATCCTCTTGGTGACTTTTTTTGTCAAACGCGACTATCGACTAATGTCGCGACTTTTCCTGGTTTTATTGGAGACGTTTCTGGTGTCTGATGTAAAAACACGTATCCTTCTGCATTTACTGTGTTCAGCGAGTCAGTCTCCCAGGAGCCTCGTGCAGCCCCACCTCTCTGCATCCAGACTGAAAATCAATCGCACATGCGCAAGCTGGCGCTGATAAGTTTAAGATTTACAATAAATATTTAAACGTCTACTGTGTAACTGGTATACTGCGGTTAAACAGCCCATTTGTTTTAAGTGATTGCCAAAATAAACGTGTGCAATATACTACCTTTTGGACTAATAATTCAATTTTGCGGATTCCAATGCGTGGAAAAATTGTACAGTTGCCCAGCACTAATGTATATATCTTTTACTAAAAGTACATCTTTCCAAAATGGTACAGGTAAGGTGGTACAGCATCTAAAAGTACAATGTCTACAGGCATACAGTCTAAAAGTATATGGTCTAAAGCAGGGTCAATTGCCTGCCGTTGGAAAAACAATCACATTGGCAGCTAACGGAAAACTTGGTAGCGCTAATTAGCGATCCTTGCTTACTAACGGACACATTTAACTTCATTCAAAAGCAACCCTGTAATAATGTATGTAATGGTTGTGATGGTTCCCTCACTTCTGACGGATGAGAGGCTTGTGGTTATATATATCGATTTGTTTTGTGCTCACGTAACGTTAGTGGTGTTGTTCCATTTGGTGTTGTTCCATTTGGTTACTCTGACCTGTTTGGTTGCTGCTTTTAACAAAGACTGTGCAGTGCCATTTACAGCTGAATTTATTAATCCCTTATTGCAGGAAAATATCAATCGTGTTCTTTAATATCTGAGTTCCTGCTGGGCAGGCTGGCTTCATGGTATGATGTCAAATGAGGTCGACGGTGACACATGGGTAGAGAGGGTGCGCCAGGAACCGCAAGGTTGGCAGTTCGAGCCACGCTGCTCCATGTCGAAGTGTCCCTGAGCAAGACACCTAACCCCTAATTGCTCCCCGACAAAATGCCTGGAAATTATTCCAAGTGAAACACCTACGGGCAGTTTAGCGATACCAATTAACCTGATTCCCAGAGCATGTCTTTGGACTGTGGGAGGAAGCTGGAGTACCCGGAGAGAACCCACGCAGACACGGGGCGAACATGCAGACTCCACACAGAAAAGTCGCTGGGCGGGGTCGAACCCAGGATTCTCTTGCTGTGAGGCAACAGTGCTAACTACTATCCGATGTAGGTGTCCGATCTGTTTTTGAAGAAAGCCCATCAGCTCAATATGTGGCTCAGCAGGACAAAATCCCAAAACACTTAAATAGTAGCTAATAGTTACCAAATACCACACTGCAGGATTGGTCAGAAATCAATGTCTGTGTATAGCCACTGTTTTTTTGTTTTCACTGAAGACTTTTTTTCTTCAGTAAGTACAAAACCCTTGTCGACTTCTACTTTGTGTGTTGTGTGTAATATACTTCATAGGGATAGCCCCATTGATAAGTTGCTCATTACTTTCAGAAGATCTGATAAATGTAGATTTAGTAAAGCATCGTATCATTTCATATATTAGCAATCACCTGCCATGAATGTTTGATTCAGTGTTGTACTATTCTCTATTATATTTCCAGATTGCTCTGCTGCATTAATGTTTGCATTTCTTCTGAAGATGTTTACAGTGCTTATTTTATCACTCTTGTACACTGTTGGGTTCGTCAATCCAAAGATACTGTATGTGTCCTATTCTCCAAGATCATATGTTAGCATCACGGTCCTGTAATGACCAGGGATGTTTAATAAGTCAAGATCTCATGCGCTCAAAAAAACGCCCTGGGTTCAGCTTCTTGTGATTCTTGAGATTATTTAGCTTAAAAAGAAGAGCTCTCTCAACACAAGAAAAGTTCATCCTTCATTTAGTTGCAAACATTCAACGTCGACAAATCTGGAGTCACAGTTTTTTTGGGAATGGAATAGATAAACTGTAATCTGTAAAGTAAGAGCTGTACCACAAATTCAATGTGTCTGAATATTTGTCTCTGAGATTTAGAGTGGAAGTAAAAAGTACCTTGAGTAAATGTACTCTACTGTGACATCTCCAGGACAACAAGGAACGCCGGCAAGACAGAAAGCGCTCTCAATCCCGCTCACGCTCCAAAGAACGGGACCACAAGCACAGCAGGACGCAGCAGCAGCACGGAAGAGAGGGCCACGACAAAGGCCACAGCGACCGGAGCCGTAGCGGCTCCTCCAAGAGATCCAATGAGAGAGAGAGAAGTAGGTACAGGTGAGGAAATGGAGCCAAGGAGATGCGGCCACCCTACGCGCGGTATTATCGATCTGCTGGTTCTCTTTTACATCATTTTGAGTTTAAGAAAAAAAAAACAATTGGATGATGTTTAATTCCTCTTCCCATTGTCTTGAAGAGGAACAAATGTGTGTAATTGTTTTTTTAAATAAAAAAAACCCTCAATGTAGCGGGTGTCCTTTTTTATTTTCATTAATTATTTATTTCCTGTGATCATTACTAATTTGAGCAATTCCACTACTGTCTGCAGTGGTCTCCCTCAATACTGTTGCTACTACTGTTGTTGACCCGCTGTAACACAAAAACAGCATGCGGTCCTGGTTTAACTAACTAACCTAAGCAAACAAAAAATAAAATCAATATACACCGTTCTTCCCTATCTAACAAAACAGATGACAAAAAGAAAGAGAATGTCGTCACTCCCTATTTCCCTGCACAATAAGTGTTACAAATAGGTTTAATGTATAACTATATACACAGCAAACAGATCCAAAAGGGCAAGGCAAGAATCAAGGCCAGAATAACACGTAATTTAAATCATAAATAATTTTATATTAATTTCAAAATTGAATTGAAAATTAAACACATTTTATTTATTTATTGTAAATGACCTCTGCCCACCTGCAGTAGCCACGAATATTTATTTTTTTCCGAAAATACAGTCCTTTTTTCTGGGTGTACTGGTGAACAGAAATGGAAACAAGTGTTCGTAGTGAAGCTCAACAAAAAGGTGAGTGCATCGAGCAGCGTAGAAACGGAAGAGTTGCAAAGCTTCCCTCCCCGAGACGGAACCCCTGGTCGACTTCCCCAACCGCCATTGCAGGATGTAGCCTGCAAACTCTCAGAGCAGATGCTTCAGTGTTTGATAGTATATCAGCTGCTGTTTGTGTTTACCTTTGGTATCAGCTAAATGCCTAAAATTCTTATGATGGAATGTGAGTGCTGAGAGCACCTCAAACAGTATAACAATTTGTAGGCACTCCAGATTCGAAATAATAATAGCTCGGTGACTTGGGGATCCGTCCGCTCCAACAGGTTCTGACTGATATCAGGTAAGCAAAGGCTGGCAATTGGAGACGATGTCCTCAGCAGCCTCCGTGCCAAAACAATACTGCGGTCAAATCCTTTTGCTTAAGAAGCATCCCAACTGAATAAAAGAATGTAGTGGTCTATAAATTGCGAGAAAAAATACAAAATGCTAAGGAAAGACTGCATACTTTCTAGTCTCCTTTTAGGTTACATCATACTTCCTTCATGAAAGAAGGAGAGACATTGCGAAGGAGAGAAGTACACCCTCGACCGACAATCATTCACTCTCACAATCATACACGCAATTTCAGAGTTGCCAATTAACCTATTCTGCACGGCTTTGGACTGAAGGAAGCCGGAGTACGTGCATACTCCATCCAGACTGGGTATTGCGGGTTTGAACCTAGGACCTTTTCGCACACCACACCACACAGGCATGCCACCCTGGACACTTTTCCTTAATTAAATTATACTCTATTGATTATGTCACTGTACTCATTTTCTATGTGTTTTAATTGAAGTTCCTTTAAAATAAATTTGCTGCAGCAGTAGTGCAGTTAGATGCCGTTCTTTTCCTGACTACTAATGAGTAATGTGTTTCATCAAGGAAAAATGGCTCCGTAAACATAGGTCTGCTGTTAAGCGTTTTTTAGTCCCATTTGTTAATTTAGCTCTGAACACAAAGTGGGAAAAGACAAACTGTAATGTCACCCTGCACAATTGGACCATGAATGTTATAAGTTTTACAAGTATGTATAACTCAACAAGTATGTGTTTAAACATTTAATCAGGTAAGTAAGAACAATAGAGGAAAGTTCAGAGGATCACCAAGATGTATGATAATGTATCCTCTGGGGACCATGAATGTCTGACAAACTTCAGTACTTCATCCTTTGACGTTGTAATCATATCAATTGCCCGATGTGGGTATAATGTGGACTGCAGTTCTACAAAGATATTGAACGTGTCTAGTTTGTCTTTTTCAATTAACTGGAGTGTTCTGTTTGAGTGTTCTATTACCTTATCACAATGGAAGAGCATAGCTCGTATGTTATAACAACACAAAAAATGATGTTACAACATACGTTTCCCACATACAAACGCACACAGACTTTCAGTACATTGTTTAGGATTGCGCAAGTCCAACAACCTGATTGTGAGAACATCCCAGTATCAAAATGCTGTTTCATTGTGAGTAATGACCTTCCTTTGTTTCTACCCTTTGTGTGTGTGTGTGTGTGTGTGTGTGTGTGTGTGTGTGAGGCGATTGCTAGTAACTCAGCCGGGTACATCCGTAAGTGGAAAAATCTAGTCACCTTGATATCATCACAAAACTTTCCATTTGTCAAAGTGAAAATCAAAAGTAAGGCCGAGATGAGGCGTGGTCAGAGCAAGGGGCCCAGTTAGGCGTCCAGACTGGTGTAATCCCATCACAAGATTTTCTCCGGTCTTCACCTGTTGTTGTGATGATGTCACCCCTGTTTCTGTCTTTGTTGGCATGTATGCAGCCACCGTAATATTCCGTAAGGGTGTTGTAACTACCGTATGGGTGTGTGGGGAAATCCTTGGTGGCTTTGTGTGCGCACAAACACTCAGCACAGGCTTGACTTTGATCACTGCAGTTCTCACAATGGAGGCAGTTCTGGGGAACTCTGCCCCAGTTTGTGCTTTCGAGATTACTTTTAATAATAATATAGATAATGCATAGGTCACATGACCATACAGTTACCATACCGTCATGAACATCATCAGAGAGTTTGAACTCAAGGGCCTTTCCAGGGAACCCTCCAGCCAGGTATCTTTGGTCATTTGACGGACAGCTCAATGTAATAGATGTGGTTGCGACCGACAGCAGAAAAAAATGTTCACCCCCCCCTCTCCCCATCCCCCCCGCCCCCCACCTTCGATCTCTAAGGTCTACCCCGATGAGGAAGTAGTCACTAATTCACCGAGTGTTCCTTTCCTTCCGCTTCATATGCTTTTTGTTCCCAGCAGGGCCACTTCCTCCAATGAGTGACATGAGCAGACTGACTCGCTCACTCAGGGTGTGAATGCAGCTCTCTCTCGCTCTCACACACATACACGCAGAGGGAGAGCGCGGCAGAGACTCGGGGCTCCGATCCACTGTTGGATGTGTAAGTACAAAACCACACAACTTGCGCCATGTGCGCCCGTAGAGCTTGTGATGACCGTATGAGCGGTGAGGCTGGCCACGGTACCGGGTCGGTTGGTACGGAGACGAATAGACGTGCACTCAGCGGCATTAAGAGGATGTGGTTTGTAGCAGCACGCCTCGCAGTAGAACAGTTCTCACACTTCGATGTCAAGCGAATCTGCAGCGTGAGAAGAAGCTCCAAAGAGGCTGGGTTCCACTTCATCCCCCCCACCCTCTCTCTCTCTCTCTTTCTCTCTCTATTTCACTATTGTGTGTGAGTGTGTGAGAGAGTGTGTAAGTGAGATGGGGCTTTCAAAACCAGCGTGACGTTATCATGAGCCCCCCGCCGGGCTTCCTGTGTTTACAGTGACAGTTTGACTCTGCCTCGATCCACTTTTTAATTTATTTTTGATCTATTGACATCTGTCACCATAGGACGTTGCCACGGAAACGCTGTACGTAAACGTAAAGTGCCCCCCCCTCCTCCAGCCCGATAGACCTGAGTAAGGCGGAGGAGAGGAAGCACGTCCGCCATGGAGCAGCAGATGCAGCAGCACGCCAAGGTGGAACGGTTCCTCAAGCTGGGCTACTCGCACATTGACATCCTGAGGGTGCTGGAGAGCCTGCGCCACGACGCGCAGACCAACGAAATTCTGGAGGAGCTGATAAAGACCTGCCACACCCCCAGTGGCGACACGAGCCACCCGAACAGCCCCAAGCTGGTGTCCAGAGGCTGCAGCCCCGGTCTCGGTGCACCCAGACCGGACCGGGAGCTCGTCACTGACTTCAGACCAGTGGTTATAGATGGAAGCAACGTGGCCATGAGGTGAGTCAACTCACAAGGTCACTCATTAACAATTCTTGTGATTAATTATAGGTTTAATTGTATCTATATTTATACGTATTTTAGAGTTTCACTCAGTTTTACAAAAATCTCAACCGGCAAACGGAGTTAAAATAAATATGCTTCGGAATGTTGTGGAGTATAAATTTAGGCTACACACGTATAAACATATAGGTATGTGGAGTATACTATATACAAATATGTATATAAAATAAAAATAAAAAACATTCCGAAGCACATTTATTTTGGAACTCCAGTTGCTGGTTCAGATGGGGTAAACCTCTAAAATACTTCGTATCAATATAGATACAATTAAACCTATAATTAATCAAATGAGCCCCACGAATGAATATAACTCGAATGTTGTGCTCCAAACATTCCGAAGCATATTTGTTTTACAACTACGGTTGCAAGTTTAGATCTTTACTTCGTGGGGAAAAAAGACTATGCAGGTGTGACCCTTTAAAGTAGCATAGCCGTTCATTCATGTGCGTAATTTAAAAAAAGAGAATACTACGACTGCATTTTTTCAGTGTTAAAAATGAATTTCCGTGCGAATTTCCGTTTGTGTCAAATCCCGTTTCACTTTACAGAACTGATAGCAGCACACTTCCTCTTTAAAGATTCAAAGATGCGGGAAGTGAAAACACAATGTTCTCTTATTCTCCTCTCTGTTCCCTCAATTCGACATAACGTCACTCCTTTGCCGCAGTGACGCACCTGACGTCGCAAATCGGACGACAACAACAAATTTTAAATCTCGCGGGTTCCAACATTTAAACTGACCCACATTAGTAACAAGGAAGTTGTTATTCCGAATATGCTCAAACAAATAAGGATTCTCGAGGAGAATAGAGGACTACTCTATTCTATAAATTCAAAAAGGAGGAAATAAAAGGCTGATGCTTTCCCAGCAGGTATTCCTGTAAGAACACAAGAGGAAGAGGAGGGATGAAGTGTTTACTGTAACACCTTGATCTCCAGGTGAGGCAGGCTTTACTGTGGTTGGCCTCAGGTGTGGAGTCACTTATCAGGCTCCACTTCCTTGTATGGTTTAGTAGAGCGTCCCCTGTTCTGACCTGAAACCCACATTGCATTTGTCATCTCGACTCGCTATTCAGTAATGTGGCTTTTTGACTCACTTGACACACAAGATGGCCTTGACCTCAAGCCTCTCTTTCTGCTCACCTTCAAATAACCCAGAATGCAACTCATTGCTCCAAAATTGCAAAAAAGAACAGTAACAAAATTGATGCTTTAAACTAGCCAGCCATATGACCATGTAAAGTAGTAGTTTCACTGTAATCCTTAACCAAACACAAAACCATTATGGGTCAGTGAGTGACAGCACTGCTCCGGACATGCATTTCATCATTTATTTTATTGGAAAAGAGCTTAAAGCTGCAAGTACAATTAATAGAGCAAAGCGTCGTTTAAAGTCAACTTTACGACCCGCTAATAAAGTCATGCAAGACGTACCTGTATACAGATTCCAAAAAGTCACGCAGAGCCTTGCCTTTTGGTGCCTGAGGTATTCAAAGGGCCTCACCACTTCCTGCTGACAAAGGGGAGGGAACCGCAGTCCCATGAACACGTACACAGGTTTTACTTTCTCCAAGGTGCAGAACAGTGTTTCATTCATGAGTCCTCAGGTTTGGACTCCAGAAAAAAGGGACATTCAATCCCTTTTTTAGTGTACTTTAGTGAATTTAGGGATAAAGTTCTACTTTGCGTTATTATTTTTCCCCACATGAGTCAGGGTTTAGATTTGATGACACAGAGTTAATGCCACCAAATTCAATTGTCGTTTTTTTTTTTCTTTGTTTGTCTTTTTTTTCTTGTGAGTAATTTACTCTTTTGCAATGGTGTTTTAGAGAACAGGACACATCTTCTTCCTGAAAAGGGGAGAAGCGATGTGTGTGTGTGTGTGTGTGTGTGTCCGTATCTGTGTGCATACAGTGCAGGTGCATGTGCATGTGCATGTGCACCTGTTAGGTGCATGTGTCACAAAAGAAGAAGTTGTTTTTTGGTTGACTCTGGATTTTGTGTCTTTGTAGCCATGGCGACAAGAAGGTGTTTTCGTGCCAGGGCCTCAATCTGGCAGTGAGCTGGTTCTGGGATAAAGGGCTGCGGGACATCACCGTGTTCGTCCCCCTGTGGAGGAAGGAGCATCCGCGGCCCGAGGCGCCCATCACAGGTGAGGTTACATTACATGACTGAGCCGAGGCGCCGCTGGCCGCCTGCCTCTGGCACAGTGGTGAGATCAGTTAATAGGGAAGAAGGACACAGACGTGTTGCTTTAGCTCCCTTTAGTCAGGTTTGTGTGCACATTCTTTGCTCTAAGGCCGACCTCACCCCATCGGGATGTCAAACTGTATTGATACAGCTGCAGGTGCTTCACAGACAATGACTCAAATGCAGCCCTGTTTGAGGAAGTTGTGCCTAAAAAACAAACACTATAACCGTCATACTTCATCACTGCCAATGAGGACCGACCAGAATTTAAGCCTCATTTATGGTCGCACCAACTGACACTACAACCGCATGAGGCGTCACAGTGGGCAGTTTTTTGCTTTGTTACAGAGTGGCTCAGTGGGGCTGAGATAGTAGCCTCCCTCCCTCCATCCCACACTTACACTTACACACACATACACACACTACTGTGGCTGCAATTTAGCCATAAGCAACTGGAACCTCCCCGCAACAGCGAAGGAGTTAGAGAAGGTGTGCTGGGAAGCATAAGGTTGGTGGTTTGAGTCCAGGCTGCCCCATGTTCCATGTCGAAGTGTCCCTGAGCAAGACACCTAACCCCTAATTGCTCCCCAGGCAAAAATGTGGTTTAAAGTGTAATGTAAGTTGCTTTGGATAAAAGTGTCTGCTAAATGACCTGTAATGTAATGTGATGTACTATACTTGAACAAACACACATTTTATCATATTTGTAATTCAGTAGCACCGAGCGCACGACCTCTGAACTGCTGAACAGCTCTCCATCTTCAGCCGCCAAATGCTTCAAACTACTTGGGTTGGGTTCGAGTAAAATAATGGTTTGGCCTAAAATAAACCTGCTTATAAGGTAATTTAGGCTACTGGCATAACGTCATGTGACACCAACACAGGTTTCTCTGGTAAAACACCCCTTGGGGGTGTTCTCACTGGAAACAGCTGCTGCTGTAAACAAGGTCGTTGTAGGCAGAGTTCACAGGCTGTTAAAAACAAAACATCCAGCTGGAAGATACTAAAATGCTCCACTGAGGTAAGGGAAACTGCTTTGTGCAGGTGTTGACGTCAGCACGAGCGATCCCTCTAGATAGATTATTGAATCTATCTATTAATTCAATAACTTATACAATGAGTTAACTTGCTTCCATAGTTCTCTGATTGCAATTCATTGTCCAGCCCAGTTGCTCTCTGGGCTCAGCATGATCGCATCAACAGATAAAATGACATACAGTATGTGTTAGGTTTCTTTCAAATAACTGGACCCACTTGGCCGACCTCTTCAGTACAGAAGTTTATTTTAACAGGTTGATGAAGTTTGATATTGGGGAGGCTGGAAGATCGGGTCCGCTCCGGACGGGAACTGGCGAGGCAGGGAGACGAGCCGGTCAAAGCGGAGGAGCAGGACACAGAGGAAAAACTGAGGAAGAAGTAAACTGCGGGGAGTTAAATCCTGGACAGCAATACCAGTAACCAAAACACTATTCGGAAGAACAGCAGCCAGGAAAACAGATTACCGCAAGAGTAACTGACGAACTGGCAAAGACTGGTAGATCAGACTGGCTTAAATACTGGGAGTGGAGGCAATCACAAAGATCCGCAGCAGGTGGCAGGAATTGCTTGACGATCTCATCTGGACCAGCTAACAACCAGGAAGGAGAAAAAACAAAACACAGGCAGACCCAACAGTATGTACAATATGGTGAATGTATATGAAGTGTGTTTTTAAGTAAAATAGTCGGACAGTAAAATTTTTGAGGACCAATTAATTCTCAAGCTTGCCATGGATACAGTCACTCCATGGTTCTACTGACAGGCAGCAGCAAAATAATTCAATTAAATTTGAATTTGCCTGAGAGGGCCTTACAGTCTCCACTCGTGCAATATCCCCTGTCCAGAAACCCTCACAACTCCCAAAAAATAATGAAAAACATTGGAGGAGGAATCTATCCAAATAATCTGATTCATTTGAATAAACGGAAGTACAATAGAAGTAGAACAGTTTCTTTCACAATGTTGAGGCAGGGCGGACATGGTTCTGACTCATTACTCATCACCTAAATCAAGGAAGGAAGAAAAAAAATTCAAAAACAAGCTTTTAACTGTCCACGGTTAACCTATCAAACATTTAGCCACTCAAACTGAAACCCAGTATTTCCTTTGTGTCTGAGCATGTACTGAAAGCAATCGTTATCACACTACAAGGAAGCATCATTTGTGCCAAGTGAACATTTTGACCCTTTTATGGTCATGGTGCAAAGCTCACGATCACAAAAAGGACACTGAGATAAAGATGAAAGGGCATGTGGGCTGCCACATGGATGTCACCTGCCCCGTGAAATCATCAGCAAGAAATGGAGTGCCAACCTAAGTAGCTACAAGGGCACCATCGCCAATTATCCATGGAATAGCGGAGTGGTTCATATTCCCGCGGCTGAAGTGTTGCAAGCTGGAGAGTCATTCACCTTGCATGAAGAAAAAAAAGCCAAATGTTTTTTTTCTTTCTTTGAGTCCAACTGTCTTAAAATTGCCGTGATGTGTTTCCTAGATCAACATGTTCTCCACGAGCTGGAGAGGAGGAAAATCCTGGTGTACACGCCATCTCGCTGTGTGAACGGCAAGAGGGTGGTGTGCTACGATGACCGCTACATCGTGAAGCTGGCCTTCGACTCTGACGGCATCGTTGTGTCCAACGACAACTACCGCGACCTGCAGACCGAGAACCCACAGTGGAAGAAGTTCATCGAGGAGAGGCTGCTGATGTACACCTTCGCTAATAACAAGTAAGGCAGAGTGCACGTGCCTAGTGTCTGTGTGTGTCTTATATTCTAAGAAAGGATTCCCTTTTACACCACAATAACATCATGAACTGTAACTGACGCCAGCTGGTTCCTGACTGTGTGTGCATACTGGATTCAGGTTTATGCCTCCAGACGACCCTCTGGGTAGAAATGGACCCGGCATTGATGACTTTCTCCGGAAGAAGTTGTGGACCCCAGACAACAAGCTGCAGCACTGTCCTTACGGTGGGTTTTACTCCTCTGTTTACTCCACGAGAACACCAGCGCTCACATTAGACTTCCTCTCCTTTGGGGACCATTTTTAATGATTACTTCTTTGCACTGAAACGAAGATTTCACCCAGCATGATGTTTTTTTTAGATTAGAGACTGTAAATGAACGAGTTTTACGGCTTTGTGTGGCGCCCCTAAGTAACCCCTTCTCTCCTATTAGGAAAGAAGTGTACTTATGGAGTCAAGTGCAAGTTCTACCACCCGGAGCGGGCCAACCAATCGCACATGTCTGTGGCCGACGAGCTGAGGGCGCTGAGAGACCGGGCCAAGAACTTCTCACCGAGCCGACCCGCCGCGTACCAGCTGTTGCACAGGTACACTTCCTCCACCCCTCCTCCGCCTCTGAGCGTCGAGGATCAAACCCACAGGGCTTCGCCCATTGAGCAGTTTGTCTGCCCAAGCCCTGAAGCAGACGAGGCCTTCGGGTCCATGGAGGGCTCCATGTCCAGACTCTACATCCAGGACGATACCTACAGTCCCTCGCACAGCTACAGCAGCGGAGTGGCAAGCTACAGCCTCAGCCACGACGAGTACTCCCTCTCGGGGTCCTTCGGTGGGAGCACCCAGACGCCCTGCCTAGGCAGGGAAGGTTATTACCTTCCCCAAAACGGGTCGTTGCCCTGCCAACGCCCTGCGTGCAGCCAGTGCCGGTGCTGCCTCCGGGAGATGAGTGCGCGCCACTACCCGCACCACCCGGCGTGGGGCTCCTGCCCCACTCTGCCTCCACACAACGGGGAGCGTCCCGGCCGTTTCTCAGAGCAATTCATGAGAGAGCCCTCCTACGGACAGAGCCACAGCCTGCCGAGGGACCCGTGGGTGCAGGGCAGAGCCAAGAGCCCGTGCAGCGAGCAGAGGAAAGGCCTGAGGAGCCAGCTGAGCAACCTCTTCCCAGAGAGCACAGTGGAGCAAGTGATGAACGCTTACCCACACATCTCAGACATGGGGGAACTGATTGTTCTCATCCAGAGCTATAGGACCAGCCACATCTCCTTCTAGATTAGAAAGTTACTTTTTTTATTATACATTTTTGACTCAAACTGAGCCCACGCTAAAGTTCTGAAAGAAGCACCACTCGCGCAAAGTCCCTCTTATTTTGAGCATTAAAAATGAATCAATCCTTGAAAGCCTTGAAAATGTAGCAGACCGCTATTTCTTTAATATAAAAGTGCAATGCACTACACACCATACGTGCTGCTTATTGTAGCAGTGAAAATCATTTATTAAAGCAGCATGTGTTGTTTTCTCATGTTGCCTCAAAATGAGGAATTTTACTAGACTATTCTGTGAAAAAGTGCCTTGAACTCTTTTTCATAGGAAATTTGGTGTTTATGATTTTCCTGTGAAATAAAACCATTCATCACTTTCCTTGTGTCTTTGTCGTCTTCAAATCAAAAGATGTTTTTAAATGAATACTGACTCAAACTGAGCTGTGGCTATACTGGTTAAACCTCGCCAGTCTCCAGTCCGTCCAGTGTTGATACAGCAGGTGTCTTCCATCAGTTATGCTATCTAGTTATTAGCGATCTTCAGCTGCGTGTGACTGATTTTGGTTTTCATGGCAGCCAAGTGATGTATTGTTATATTTCTTTACATTTGGTCAGACTAGTTTTTCTTTTAGATGACAGACAAATCAATTCAATTCATTTTATTTTGTGAAGCTCAAAATCGCAAATTACAAATTAGCCTCAGCGGGCTTTACAGTCTCTACACATGTGACAAAAGAAAAAAGGGAAGAAACCTCAGTGAGAACGTCCGAGGAGGGATCCCTCTCCCAGGATGGACAGACTACAATGGATGTCATGTGTACAGAATGAACAATGTGAAAGATGTACGATACATTCAATTCCTGTAACAGAATTGATCCAAATAATTGCGAGTAGTAAGCCAGGGGTACGGCAGAACCACTGCAGAGACCACCACCATAAGATAGAACCACCATCCACAGACGTCTGTGGGGAGGGAAAGCACAAATACTTTAGGGTAATGTTGGTTTATGATGACAGTAATAGTAATGTGATGAATATTTAAAATAATAATACAGTTGAGTATCGTCTGCATAAAAATCGAAGTTTATGCAGTTTTCTGATAATGTTGCCCAAAGGGAGCATTACAGGATAAATAAAATCGGTCCAAGCACAGAATCGTGACCAACATTGTTTACAATCACAAACTGGGATTGGTCCGATAAATACGATTTAAACCAGCTGAGTGAGATTCACAATATACAGTAAAGACTGCTAACTAAAGGAAAAACTAGAAGATTTAGACATCAAAATTTTAGAAGTCAGTTGATCAAGGTTGATGGAAGAGTAGCCATCCAAGCAGGTATCAGAGCCCACTGCCCATCCAATGTTCCAACATCCGAGTACGGGTCGGCATTGGATGAAGGTAGGTGTTGAGTTGAGCTGCAGGCCTCTCTGGCTGAGAGGCAGGTTTAGGTGTGTCTCCCAGGCTGGGGCGGAGAATTGAATGCACCAGGTGGAGATGATCTGGAGATCAGGGTGGGTTGAAGACTATTCATTTTCTCTTTGATAGTCAGAATCTTAGAAGTCGTTAGTACTGAGGTCCAAAGGAATGCACAGCTCGACAGAGCTGTGTCTTTCTGTCCCGTCTGGCTACAGTGCTGAAGAGAAACCTGGAGTTGTTTTTATTTTTCTCTATTAATTATGAGTAATAAGATGTTCTTGCTTTACAGAGAGCCTTCTTATATGATTTAAGGCTGTCTTGCCAAACTAGCCTAGATCCAGATTTGGTGGAACACCATAACCGTTCACGGTTATACCAAGGAGCAAACTTCCTTCTTGTTGCCATTCTTCTTTCCAGAAGACGAGGAATAGCATCCAGCGCCATTCTCAAAGAGCCTGTAGCAAATGGCTTCCTGGTCTGAACTCTGGGTCATGGACTAAAGGGTCCACCAAGAAACTGGGTCAAATTCTCAGAAATTAGTTTAGCTCCATCCATAGTGGGATGGATGCCGTCCCTCCTAATCAGACCAGGCTCTCCCCCAAACGTCTTCCAGTCATCAATGAAGCATTATTTACTGGTCACCACCTCGGCAACCAGCGTCAGAATGACAATATGCGGCTATATGTCGTGTTGTATTCAGAAATGAAGAAACGCCGGACGGACAGAGGTCATCGCTGATCAAAAGGTTAAATCAAATGTATTTAATAAAAGACCAAAAGATGGTGTTGTGGTAAAAAGAACATCTCAGCTGAGGAGCCGCTGGTCTCAGCAACCAACAGGCCCCAGGTCGGTCCTTTTGACTATCCCTAGTGTCCGTTTGTCGCCTCCACCAGTGAACTCTAGAACAATGGTTCCTACAGGTATTTATAACAATGCTAAAAGGTGTGAAAGTTAGTGTCCACACCTCTGGGAGTGGTCTTCTGGTGAGTTCATGTAACTCGGATTTTGAATGGCTCATAGTCAATATCAGTTGCTGTGCAAGTATTACATGCATGCATTCCAGTTGATTGCATTACATTAAATACAATCATAACTTCATTGGTATTATTCTATTACAGTTGCAGAATTACAGTGGTTTTACAATATTGTCATTACTTTATTGATTACACAGTTTCAGAATCATGGCTGTTTTCTGGTGTACACTATATGCATTTTTATTAATTTTATGAACCGGATCGTATATTTGTTTCCAATGTCCTACAGTCGGCACTGATCAAGTTTAGGAGGGAGCAGAGAAAACTACGGTGTCCGACATTGTTTTAGCGTATGTACACACCGAGGAGCACATCTCCGCTTCCTCGATTACCCGACCAGGAACCGACCGCAACTGCACGCTGCTGGAGGTCCGGGCCGCACTGCTGGGTCCTCAAGCAACAAGGGAGGCCCAGGAAAACAAGGAGTAACCCAGACGGACTGTCGGACCCTGCAGGAAGGAGAGACGTTCTCTGAAAGGACTCCGTATCAACACAAAGATAAAGTCCCTGGTGGCAGCTTTGATGTGGGTAAGACAGAACGTGGATTTATGTAAGATTGAATGTGCGCATAACGTTGAAGATTCTGGGAACTCGAACGTGCGCGGTTTCCATTTGGTAAAGGGAAAACATTTGGAATAACAGTAGTTAAAATAAACAAATACTGGTAAAAACATTAACAAGGTTACGGTTTTATTAAGTGTCCCAAATACATACCAAGCAAAATACTAGAGCCTAGTTTTTTAACATAACCTAAAAGTAATGCAGCCATTTAAACAATTGGTTCCAGCTGCAGTTTTTCTGCTGACGTTGCAAAAATGTTTGCTCAATTAGTTTTAATTACTACAAGGGCCTGTGAAACATACCGTGCTGTTGTTAAAATATGGAAACATTAAATTGGCGGTATGGATTTATATATCCCTCCTTGACAGACTTTTATTCTGCCATCTACTGGATAGAAAAATCAATACCACAAAGACAAACCAAACAACTCAGAATAGATTTTTTTTAATTATTTTTACAAATAACTTATCTGTTACAAAGACAGTTTTCCCAGCTAAAAATCAAAGAAACACTTTAGATATCCAAATTATTTTTTTCCATTCAATAAAACAAGAATGAACTGCCTCTTCACACCATGGTGCAGACAAAGCTGAAAACTGGTTTCTTTGGATCGGAAAAACAAAACAAAATGAAGATAAAAGTATGATGTAAGTGCTTAAGAGACAATAATCCATCTTTTACTTTTATATGGGTTTAAACATTATGAAAATTTTGGTTTTAAAAATGGCACTCGGATGTGACAGAATAGATAAATCAATACAAATTCAATGGGTCCTAAGGCACTGACACAAGGCAACATTTCTCAAGTGTGGAAAAAAACAAAGTAACTACTCCATAGTTAAGGTAAAGTAATGACAATAGGTAAACTTTAGAAACACCCTCATCAATAAACGCTTGGAAGGATGAAATGAGCCAAATACAAATAAGAGTATACATACAGTGGACAGTCATGTTGTCTGCTTCCATCATGTTGGAACTATTGTGTCTGGTCTGTGTAGAAAAAAAACATGGCACCCATATGAATATTTCTACATCATAGGTATACTTTAAACTGTAATGTGTTCACTTTTGATCTTTATGGTTACCTCCCAGAGAAAAAAAAAACAGATATGGATGGACAGTGACACAGAGACCTTTCACCTAATCAGACGCTCCACAGGCTGCAGTGACTTCCTGATAGTTCTGGAAAAACAAGTGTCTCTTTGCACAAAGGTGTAGTTGTCCCCAAAATATTAGACCTACATTCCAGTTGTCAGAGAAGATGGCGGGTTGTAATTTTTGCTCAATAACACCCCCTTCCTCCTCCTCAACCCCCAACAGTTTAAATGTGACGTCTTGAAAAAAGAAAAAGAAAATCCTCAGTTGCCTTCTTTTGTGCTGCACCTGCAGATTGTACACAGGCGACGTAGGGATAACACGTGCGCTGAGCCCCGGGGCGGATGTGGCTTAATGGTGACGGCAATCTAACTGCTATGCTCCTCTCCTTCTGCAAGGCTTCAACTCTCACAGAAATCAGGCCCAAAAACCTTTTCCTTTTTTCAGGGAGACCGATGCTTATTTTTGTTTGAAAGAGGGAAGCAAAACGAGACAAAAAACAACAAAAAAAGTTAATAAAGTCTATAAAGCTATACTTACAGGAAATACATGTGATTCATAGTGTGAGGAAGATGGCTTTCAGGGCACATTCTAAAAATTATGTACAGTTTTCGCCTCCGTGTACTGTACACAACGCATGCAACTTAGAACCTGTTTTCATTATCTCAGGAGAGAGGAGACAGGAAAGGGGATGCTGAAGGAGGGGAGGGAGAGCGGCACATTTAAGGTTGCACTGCTGGTTCCCCCCTTTTGACCATCCTCTTGAAAACAACAAACAAAAACACAAACTTTAAAACAGTCCCACGGTTAGTCTGTTAGTTTCCTCTTCAAGTGGAGAGCAGTGGCTGAACACAGTTCCCAATTCCCTGATCATGCCACCACAGAGAAAAACTCAAATGTAATTAGAAAAAGGCACATTTGCACCTGTTTTGTGTGCGTGTGTTTGTTTATGTGCTGATGTGTATGTCGTGTGTATGTGTGCCGTCACACTGCAGGGCCACACTCGTAATACTGTAAGTGGCAGCAGCGAGGTATCCATGGGGGAAAAGTGTCACCCGCCTAGGGGACTCGACCCCGCGGTTTCCCGGTCTCTAAAGGTGAGGTATTGTCTCACTCCACCGTGAACACCGTCCAGTCAAGCCTTCAATGACAGCACTACCAAACCGTCGAGAGGAGGGAAGAAGGAAAACCAAACGAACGCACCCCCTCCCCACCCAGAGTTTTCATACGACGAGCGAAAACAGAAGAAACAAGAGACGCCCTTTTCTCTCTCTATTGTGGTCTGGCGGGCGGCAGCCCGGCGCACCCTCGTTGGCTCAGAAGTGCCGGGGGAACTCGCACTGTTCACAGCGGTTGAGGGCGGGGTGGTTGAGGAAGGTGCAGGCGGTGCAGTTCCACTGCAGCCCCTCGTCCTCCTCCTGGTCTGCGATGGGCTTCACAATCTTACTGCCCGGGTCTGTGATGATGAGAAGGAGGAGGAGGAGGAGGAGGAGGAGGAGGAGGAGGAGGTCAGGTCACAGAAGAACAAGAGGATAACAGATAAATGTAATCTCAGAAATGTTTTGGAATGTTTTTTCAGTGTTTGGCATGAAAATGGAATTGACTCTAGACATGGAAAAACATTGAGGGCAGATTGCCATGGTGACATTTTTCAGCAACTAACCTGTTATGTTCGATCACCTAGTGAAATGAAATGTACCGCTTGCTGACAAATGAAAGCTTTGCGGGCAGAGCGTGAGATGATAACACAAATACAATGAAGTTGATGACACAATCGGGGGAAAAAGCAATAAGGATAACTGACCCATGCAGAATTATTTTTAGACTGTGTAGATCAATAGTATTATGGGCTTTGAATCTAACTTCTTTCAGGTGCAACTTTTGGATTGGATTTGGAGCAAAAATACATTTTTTAGAAAGCACATTTTCTGTGTACTGTTTGGTCTCCTGTGTGACACGCACCTACCCTCACGTGGCTAACTGACAGCCCCACATTTACGGCCTATAACCCCAATGACCCGCTAATCAGAGACACTATGATGGTGTCAACCTCGCTTCGTACTACAGGGACCTGTTCTGATGACAATTAAGGATTGGGGAGCTTTTTGAAGACATAAACCCTTGGGTGATGGTAAAGGAAGAAAGGATGAAACAAGAGGAGAGGACAGGGATACCAACCAAATGAGAGAGGAGGGGGAGGACCAGAGGAGGGCTCCATCATGAGCTCAGAAGTCACATTATATCTACGTCTGTTCCCTTCTGGCCCAGGTAGAGATGGAGAGGAGCAGAGGGTAATGGAGGGATGAACGGATGAGGGGTAGGCGTGTGGATGAGTGGAAAAAAAAGATTACAGAGCCGGTAGGAGTGGGGGGGGGGGAAGAATAGTTATTTAGTCATAATCAGGCTTAAACCAATGTTGCTGATTTAAATGACAATACCTAAAGGAGTACAAATATAAATTGGATCTCTTCAAGTGCATCCGTTACTGAAGCACTGAAGCATGCTGCATTGAATGTATCGGTGGGCAATATTCAACAACAGCATCCCAACACACACAGTGTGGTCCAATCCGATGAAAGGAGACTAACATCAGCCGCTCTACTTCATTCCCTGTCTAACAAGTCTCAAAAGTCTATTTGTCGCGTGGGTCAACAACCCGTTGATTATAATGTGCACTATAACCTGTAGTAAGAAGCTGTGGCTGAGTGGTCTCAGACCGGATGCTAATAAAACTAAAAAAAGTCATGACGCCTCAATATTTTAAAAGACAAAAAGAAGACCAAAAATGAACACGAACAAGCTTATTAGAATTGGTGTAGAATAATTTAATCTAGCATCATATAATTAAGTTATTTAAAAAGGATATTGTAACTGGAACTTTGAAAATGTAATTTTTAAATAATTGTATCATTGAAACATGCAACACTAATGTCATATATCAGTAAGTACAGTGTGAAAAGAATGACAACATGCTATATATATATATAAATGAAAGAATGAAAATTTATATATAAAGTGGCCTGTGTACGACAAAGCAACCTCCTCTAAACTTACCGATAGATAAAGTACCTTTGGGTTTGGGTGGGAGTGGACCAAGGAATCCCATGTTGTCATAAAAGTTATGGATTGCACTAAGATTAAAGTGTGGTCCTGTAAAGAGATGGAGAAAAAAAGGGGAGAAAAGGGGATTGACATTTGTCTCAGAGCTGTGCACGTACACACACTCCAATCTAACACAACTACTAATTAGCAGGACATTAAAGTAAGAGTCTAAAGCCGTATGTCTTAATCATGGATCGGTGCCCTTCGCTGTGAAGTGTTCAGTTTGCCTGCAACCGCTTTGAGACATACCACTCTTAACATACAGAAAGTAGGGACATTAAACAGTTTAAAGTGCATTTAAAAGTTAGTGTTGAGCACTATGCATGGCATAGCACTTCAGTTTTCTATCCATCTCCATCCCTCGCCAGGCATGTCTCCCTGCTCCACCCCCCAAACGAGTCAAACAAAGACAAACCACAAGAAAAATTATTGCTTTTACTTTACACTAATAATGTCAATTTTGCTTCCCTTACTTCACTTAAGCCTAGTTTATGCTTCTGCGTTTTCAGAGCGACGCAGACGCAAGACCCCCTTGCGTGTCCCTTGCGTGCCTTTTCACACCTCCTTGCCTCCTTGCGTGCGTCAACCCATTTTTCTAGGCTAGGTCGAAAGCGACGCAAGCCTCCCGCAGCGCACAAGGCTGCGATTGGTCTGCTAACTACATCCTTTACGGAGTCTCACATTTCCGCTTTCATAGCCCGACACCACCATTATTAAAACGAAGAATGACCGCTTCTACAAGTCGTCATTGGCGGGTTGTATAAGCGGGCTGGATTCACGGAGGGAGATCTCCGCAAACGGCGGTTTGCCAGTCGAGAGGTGCACAAAGTTGTGGAGGAAAATACGGGACAAATGTGTCCGCGATGAAAAGCAGCAGTGGCGATGCACGGGGCAATAAAGTCTATGATAAATAAATAAACAAACCAACAACTTCCACACACAAAGACGTGACTCTCTAGGTCATCTTCAACAAAAACACGTTACTCCACCTGTTATTCTGGCAGTGAATTGCTCTGCAACACACGCAAGACTTTTAGAACCATGAATTGAAACAAGTGCGTCGACGCAACGACGCAGACGCAGAAGCATGCGCCAGACTTTACTGTCAAAATGGTGGAATTTATTCATCTCATCACGGCTAATATTCTGGCTAACTCTTCTGTTGTACAATGTAATGTTGTTGTAAAAGGAGATCAAACTTTTGGATGTCAGTTTTTCAGTTATGACAAAAGGCTAAAACACCAAAAGCACGACTTCAAGCAGCAGATCACAAACATTAAACCCAGGAGCCAACAGGTCTGTTACGGGGCCATTCATTCATTGATTCATTCAAGGCTCCCAATGGCTTTAATTCACCTGTGTGAAACTGCTGCCACGGGGCTAATAAATCCCCTCGTTGCTGAACAATTTAGGAAGATCTGGTAGTGAACAGCACAATGGCAGCACCTTGTGTGCAGAGAAGATGTTAGCATCAGTGGACCCTAGATCACACTACGGTTGCCCTCACTCACCCACTGTTAACGGTATCATCATTCAATCCTGACATAAACAAGGAGCTGAGCGCCAGTTCAAAGCTAAACACAGATGACTGTTTACCAGAGGGAGAAGTCGTACCTCGAGTTTGAAGAAGATCAATTTCTTTGGTGAGGCAGTCGATGTCGATCTGCAGTAACCGGTTTTTGCATCGCAGCTGCTTCATTTCCTCAATCTGGAAAAGGAACAAGGGGAGAGGGGTTAGAGGCGGGGGGAATCAGCAGGCGAACCATTACACATCACACAAGCAAGGAGCACCGCCCGCCCACCCCTCAAACCCTCTGTTGACTCCAATTTTAATAACAGCTGACAAAAACAACCGACCCAACAAAAGAAGGCGGCGGTTTTCAGCAAGCTCACAGCTGCGGATGGTAACGTTAATACTATCGCTGTGCCGGCGTTACTTAGGAAGCCTCGTCATCAGCGTTTTTACCTGCAACACTGACTTCAGAGTCTAAAAAAAAAAAGAAATATCGAGCAGAGTCGGCCAAAAACCCAAAACAGACCCTGTAATCAACTTCGTGCTGGGGTGTTGGAGAGTGGCAAAGTGACTCAGATCGTTCAGTTTTGTCTTCATAACCAGTGAAGCATCGGGTTTGCAGTTATGTAAAACATCTGTGATGGCCACTAGCAAAATTACGTTGATTTGTCATTTTATTGAATGCTCTGCAAAGGAAAGATCAGAAGCTAATGTCAATGATTACGGTTTTCAACAATAAATGTCTCAGACCAAAACCAAAGAGCAGAAACTTCATTGGCATTACTTAGGGAAAAGGCATTGCATTCTCTCCATCTTTACGTATCCATCTTTTTCCAACAAAAGCAAAAGATAAATCAAATGTGCATCTGGGAACATGAATGAAGCTTACAGAAGGGATTTGGGAGGCCGAGTTGGATCTCTCCAGCCGTCTCCTGGTCAGGTCGTTCTCCATCTCGTTGACCTCCTCTTTTAGCTTCTCCAGCTTCTTCTTCTTCAGCTCCAGCTCGTGCCACAACCTCTCCATGCGGGCCTTCTGATGGACCAACAACGCTGCAGAGCGAGCACACACACACACACACACACACACACACACACACATACACACACACACATATACACACACACACACACACACACACACACACACACACACACACACACACACACACACACACACACACACACACCTTTGAGGATTACTGCTGTGGATATACAGCACGGACACATCTTCAGTTACACCGGTCAAACCAGTTGTCTGTTGTCTGTCTACTGTCGCGCACTAACCGCCAAGACAAATTCCTTGTATGTTTGGCATATTTTGGCAAATAAATGTTTCCTGATTCCTGATTCTGGGCCTGATTAGACTTTGAGTGGGAGCAGTGCAGGTGAGCAGTGTTTACAACGGAAGCTTTTACCGGGCACATGTTCCACTCATATCTTTACAGCCGGTTTCCCATAATTCACCACTGTTTCTGTCATCCGTTTGACAAGTTGTAACTCATCCCACACAGATGCTCTCTCGCCTGCTACAGGAACCCACAAACCACTCCATCACGGAAACGATGCTCGGACAAAATTTGTTTTTCATCGCCCCTGCCCCGCCGCAGGGCCATGTTGAACGTCCCGGAGCTAAACTGCTAGCCGTTCGCTCAGCGCAAGTTCAGTGGCACGGAAACCACGAGCCTGACACTAGTACCACCTGAACACTAGACACTAGTACCGCCTGAACCCGATGCATGGGAGGGGGGCTTCGCATTGATGTTAGTTTGGCTTGGAAGAGAAAAATTAGCTTTGATTTTAGCCTGCTTGTGTTTGGCTTTTAAGTTCAACATCATGTGTTTATTATGGGATAATTTTGCGCTTCTCTTCTTTTTGTTATTTCAAGTGAGCTGTGCAGAAGGGGTCTTATCTTCTTTATAAGACGCCTTCTCGCTGATCAAATAAACGTGCCCAATTTCTTTTAAACGAGCCCCGAAACTGGGCTGACTCAAGCAGTTTAAGAACAACAATTGTTTTTCTATTAGCCACTCCTACTTTTCCTTTTTGAGATTCATTATCACACAACGATCCGCATGAATGACTGGCTACACATCTGACTGACGAACTTATTGTTAAAACTCCCAAGAATTTGTCTCCCTGGGTTACTAACCCACAATAACAAACACAGGAGGGGAATGTCTTATGCCACCAGTTTTTTTTTTGATTCATCAAATTGGCTGAAGGGAAACAGTATTTTTCAACATGTATTTTATTTTCCCATGTTAAATTTGGTTTAAAAACTTTACCGGAACCTCAATATTAGTTGCATCTATGGACCAGGTGTGAACGGTGCATGTTAAGATCAGCCAATCCTATTTAATGAGCAGTTAGGTGGTGACAGGTGTGTGCGAGTGTGTGTCTCTACCAGGTACAGTGAAGAGGTCACTAGGTCTTTTTCCAAGCCAAAGCAGGTAAAGTCAAGGGTGAAAGCGGGCTGATGAGGATTAACATGCTCGGTGTGATGCCGCCCCCCACCTCCCTCTGGGTGGTAGTCAAGGCCACAGCCGGTGACTCCCGCACGATGCAGTTGAAAGCCCAAAAAAGGAAACGGCAGTTGGCTCCGACACGTTTGACTCACACTGCAGAATCCGCCTGTCTCGGGGAGGTCGTCGAAGTTCAGCGCGGAGGACTCATGCAGACGTCATCGCGCCGGCCCTCACCCAGCGAGTCACCTTAACCATTGTCTACATCGCAGAGGCGGACACGTAGAGCGCTGTTTTCTACAGCGAGTACACACAGTGCTTAGCTAGAGAAACACTCCACAGGCCGTGTTGTGGAGAGACTTTCTAAATCACACCGTATACTTTGTAGTAAAATTACTTTCTTGGCAGGAAGTGATGGAAAAAGCATTTGACCCATTGCTTGGAATAAAAAAAGAAAATAAACTGCATACTGAGGTAACTAAAAACGTCTTTTCCCCTCATCACTGCCCCTCTTAAGCCACTTGACATTTGACAAACAACCAATAAACAGTGGAACACACAGCTGTAACGAGACAGCTAAGTCTCAGAGGGGCATGAGAGCTTTGGAATGTATTTTTGCATTGTGGTGTTTCATTTCTAGATGTTTCTCTAGGGCGTGAGGACTGGGATCGGAGTGACGCCGCTCACCTTGCGTGTATGCCGCGTCGTCTGAGCCCATGCTGAGTCTTCGCGGCTCGCTCGGCCTCTCCCTGTGTGCCGAAAGCGGGTCCGACAGATGTAGGGGGTCGGGCTCCACGAAATGGTGGTCTGAAGGTAGGCTGAGGAGGTTGTTGGGCTCAAATGTAGGAGACACAACTCCGGGGGACACCGCGGGGGGCTTATTGGGGGACACGGTGATCTTAAAAGTGTATTTAGTGTTGGGCTGTGTCACCACCACGCGCGGGGACGAAGCCGTGCCTCCCCCTCCCAGAGAAGCACGGGACTTTGGTGGATGGTGGTGGATGTATGCAGGGCCCATGCTCACCTGGCCCCCCATGTTCCTGGCCCCTGAGGGCCCCTGCAACGAAGGGTTGGCTGAGATGTAGACTGTGGGAGGGTTCCTACCCCCACTGTCGTCACTGGTGGCGTTGGCAGAAATGTAAAAGCGGGAGCCGACTGAGGGAGCTTCTTCAGAGGAAGCGGTAGCAGCGGTGGGCGGGCTGGGAGAGATGTAAACAGGCTGGCTGCGGCTCAGGCCCGGGCCTCCGATGGAGAGAGGGGCGGTGGGGACGGTGGCTACCCCGGCAGAACAGGAAGAGGACGAGGACGAGGAGGAGGAAGGGCAGGAGGAGGACGTGGAGGAGGACCGTGGCCCACTGCTTGTCCGCAGCACGGCAGTAGTGGAGTTGCTCCTCTGAGGAGATTCAAGTTTGATCTCAATCTGATTTTTCCGCGGGCCGGTGGAGATGTTCTGGATGTTGTACTGGCTGATGGTTGGCATCGAGGTGGGCATAACTGAGGAGGTGGAGGAGGTGGTGGTGGAGCACGACGAGACACCGGAGGACGAGGCCTGGCTTCCGGTGGGGATGAGGGAGGGCGCCTGGGGATTGGTGGGAGAGCTGATCGGCATGTAGACGTGAGAGGTCTGGTGGCTCTGTGTCTGGTGCTGTGAGGTATGCGAGGAGGCGGTGTGCTGGGGGCCAGACCAGGGAGACGGGTGTGAGATCTGGTAGATCTGCTGCTGCGGCTGGGAGGTGGGGCTGTACTGGGCCCTGCCCCCCTGCAGCTGCTGCTGGTGGTTCTGCCGGGTCGTACCACACTGGGTGACGAAGGGCCTGATGTAAATGGAGTTACCCTGTGGACTGTTTGTTGTTTGTGGACCGCCGTGTATGTGCAAAGAGGTGGGTGTGTTGCGGCCCGTCTGGATGTGGGGTGCTAGCGTCACGCTTATTGGGTTGAAGCGCGGGGTCTGCTGGGATCCTTTGACCCCCATAGGGTAGAGCCCGAGGTGCTGCGGAGGCTGCGGCTTTCTTGTGGGCTCCATGCCACCAAACACATTGATGCTGGCGGGAACCTGCACTGGGGCGGACTGGGGCTCCGGCGGAAAGAAGTCACTGTTAGGGGCCTGGCCTTTCTGGAGGGGCCCGTCGCTCAGGCTGTGGGCCAGAGTTCGACTGCCGTTCATTCTCGGGCTGTCCTGGTTCGGGGCCACGTGCACATTCTGAGACTGCAAGCCCAGGTTCAGCTGGGTCATGTGTTTGCGAAGCCTGTCAAAGCCGGGGTCGTTGCTGAGGTTTCCTTCTTCGCTGTACAGGTAGCCCGGACTGACCTGGGACAAGTATTCGCAGCAGGCGTCTAGATTGTTGTTGTTCTGAAGGAGAGACAGAAAGCAAATCAGTCATGCAATGTCAGATGAGAATCCTAAAAAGATTCAGACCCGTTTTTATCATTCCCGTACAGCAGCTGGTCCGAAAGGCTCTGGACCAATTTCTTTTTTATTAATCAAATAACCGGATGAAAAAAACAAAAAAACAGCATAAAAATAAGGATTCATTTCCAACCCTTCAAAACAGAACTGAAAATTCACAGTGCAAAAAAACAAAACAAAGTGCAACTGGTTTATCCTTGAACATTATAATTTATAAATGAAGAGAGAAAAAGAAAAATCTGAAAACTTAATAGGATTAGTTTGAACGTCAGAACTTGTTCTCTAGACTACCCTTACAGACGCACACAATCACAAGTTCACTTGAACCTTATTCATTCATGAAAGTTAAGTAAATTTATACACCACATTAAAACACACCCAAAAACAACACTTTTAATCGATTTTTATCACACATTTTCCTTTGAGATTGCAAAGCGGTTTATAATGTTGTGATCGAGATTGTTAAAGTGTGGCATATTCTGGCAAAAATATTCTGTTTACAATGTAGTAGTTTTAAAATAGTACCATCTATACATATGCACCTCTGGGATCAAGATGTTTGAACCTGCCCACCTGCAGAACACACTGGGAGACAACACCCTCTGGGACTTCTGGGAACTTCTGGCGCAGGTCATGCAAAACCTGAATGTCAATCTGGTGGCTTCCCTGGGCCATTCGTATGTTGCCAGGTCGGTACTGCTCGTTCTGTTCAGCGCCCTGGGGCGTCAGTCGTGGCAGCAAACCGCCTTCATCTTGAACACCTTCTAAATTTAAACAAAGAAAAAAGGGGAAAGCATCCGATGAGAAAGTTTTCATTTGGCTTTTGTAAAAACCACAACATACGCAGAATATAATTTTTCCCCAAGTGGGAGGAGAATCTTCACAAAGTAATACGAGCTAGAAAAGTCTGTGTTTAGTTACTCCAAAAAATGTTAAAGTTGGTGGTCTGCTGCAAGTCCGCTCTTCAAGACACCCAACAGACATTTGAGGTTGTCGATTTCATTATGGCTGGGGGAGCTTTCAAAACAAAAGTTCACGAGAATACATGGCATTCATTTCAGGAGCCCTCCTCCACACAGAGCTCCTTAATAAAAGAGTAGCAGAGGAAGGAAACCACCCCGACTGACTACTGAAAACAGCCTTTTCCAGTAGTGGTGGGTGGAGAGGGGGGGGATGAAAATCTCAGCGTAGAGATCTGTTGATCTGCAACGTAAGGCAGATCTGGAGAACAATTGACCCTTAAAAATCCAAAATTATTTCTGACACTTTACGCAGACAGTTTCAGGGATATAAACTGTTCGCCCCCATCTCACACAGCAATGTAGGACAATTAGGTTTTTATTCATCCCAGAACCCTGAATCAACCAAAGAGGCTTTTCTAAAAGGGCCATACCGTCAAACTTTCTGCTCACATTGGAACTCGAAGATTGGAGTTCTTGTTTAGAAGAAAGCCTTTTACTTTGGAAAAAGTTTCCCCTTAGAGCTCTACAAAATGCTTTCTTATGTGTTTTCATTAGAGCTAAAACGGGAACGTTGCTAGCATAACAATACCTTAATTCCAGGGGAAAAGGCTTACTTCAAAGTAATATTGCCATGTCCCACATTTGCCCCACATCCACGTTCAGATAGGAAAAAATGAATTGTCCTCACCAGTAATGTGAAACTGCTTTTCTAAACTTTCTTTTGGTCAGAAAATTACAATTTCGGTAAAAAATGTCATTGTTAACGCAATGTGAACATGGAGGAGGATGTTATTTTATTCATGCTTGTGTTTTATTTACTTGTATGTGCTTGATTTTCTTCTTCCTTTTGTGGGGCGTTTGAGTTTGCTTGTGTGGCTAGCTCGCTACTTTGTTATGTAGTACTCCTTTTGAGGGTAACAAATAGCATGTAATCTATATCAAATGATTGAATGGAATAAAGAAAATAGCAAAGAATCCTCCCCTCAATCATGAAAAAAAAAATCAATCAACAATTTCTGGAGTGTTCCTTACCTGCTGAAATGAAACCAGGTTATATTTATCCTGAGCACATGTCTGTTCAACTGTGGATCACCAACACCTCCCTTACTGTGGGCCTGCTGCTGTGACTGCTAACACAAAGTGCTTAATCAACAAGCCTTGAGTGTGCCCATTGATTATTTTAATAATATTACAACAAACACTCGGTACACAATTACTATACAGTTCAACAGTACCTTAATACACTGAACAGCCTCAAATTAAAACACAGCAGAAAAAGAGCATACTAACATAATTCCCCGGAGGAAGGATTCTTGCTTCACACTGCTTCATTTTTAACCAAGTTGCTTCAAATGTTTCACAGTGAGGAAGACATGTATTTAGGCTCTCTAGACCCAGAGTTTAAAAAAAATAAAAAATAAAACTGAGCCCTGGGTTTCCATTTGGCCCGGCTCACTTTTCCAAGCGTTCTTTAAGGAAACCCACGAAAAGACTCATGAGAACTTGAAAGCGTAACTGCATGACAGGCGTTGCCTTCGTCTCATCCTACAACTTTTAATCTGACTGCTAGGGCTGAAAACTACTTATTGTTGTGTGATTATTGCACCAAATTAACTGCAATAAACAATATTATTGTAATTTTTGGACCATTTAATTCCACGCATTGCATAATAACAATATAATATATAGCATCATTGATCTGGAATAATTCAATTCAATATTAATTTGTAACGCAGAACTTTATTGGAGTAAATACAAAACAGGGATTCACGCCTATACAAATGTTGTGCGCAAAGTCTGTCAGAACAACGGATTTTGCAGGGCTTGCTAAAAAAAGACACGCGAGACAGATGCGCTGTGCACGGAGGGGAGGGGCTGTGTGTGTGTGTGTGTGTGTGTGTGACAGACGCGTGAGTGACAGACGGAGGGAGAGCAGGGTAACGAAATGCAGCTGAACGAATACGCTGCGTGATTTAAATAGCGTAAAAAAAATTATTTACAGTGTTTCCCACACATAATAAATAAGTGCAAGGGACACTGTTTGAAGAACGGTGAGGCTCAAATCCCACTGGCAAGGATTTGTATCAGGACGAAGTAAAAAAGTAGCTCACAGTAGTAGGCCATTCAACTCGGAAAGACTAGCTTCCTGATTGGATTCTCCCGAGCAGAAAACCATTCATAACTTTGTTTAAAAAGTGTTGCAGTAGAAAATGACCGAGCAAATAGTTTTGATGTGAAATATTCAGTATTTCGCAAAGGTGTATATTATTAATGTTATCATTTATTTAAAAAGGAACATGAAAGTAAAACATGTTATTTAACAAAAGCATGTTAGTTTACATGTCCTCTCTACCTTTAACTCCCTCACACATACGTTTTTTTGTGTAATATATTCTTATATTCAATATGTATACAAACATTGCACACTGTGGAAAAAGGGGATACAGGTACTCTGTTACAACTCATCTCAGGACGTTGGGCAGTTCCCCCATTGTGGGTAAGGAAACTCACTACTTGGTTGGCGCAGGTCAAGCGGTGCGGTCGGATTGTTTCCTGGCTTCCAAAACAAAAAGGTCCACACCACTGCACTGTACGGAAATATAAGCCTTTGGTCAGTGTGTGCTTTTTGGAGGGCGGAGAGACGAGACGGGCTCTGCGGGGGGGAGGGGTTCCCCGGAGGAGCTGGTGGAACAGGGCCTGCGGTCAGAAGAGATAGAGACAAAGCGTCTATTGCTAAGTTGGCCGGGCCAAATCATTGACGCTCAGTTCCACACACTCTCTGCGAGCAGCAAGCCTGCCATGCTCCATCAATGGGCTCATTCACTCCGCCGGAGAGCGAATGCACCGTAAAAACTTAATTAGCCTAAATAAAAGAAATAATCAACGGAGCACCTGGTGCTGCGGCCGCTGCGATGGCCCACACACCAAAAAAAAAAACGGCGTAAAAGGATCTACACGTTACTTGAAGAATACACACAATATAATGCCATGCCACACTCTCTTCATCGTGTGTAGGCTGGATGCTCCCATCGTGATTGTGTTGCGCTGATCTCGTCGGATCGAGTCTTTTCTGACGAAGCGACGGTTCACACGTGGTAGATGTGGGATACAGTGGGAACTCTGGAGATCCCGCGGGATCCAGGATCACAAAACATCGTCTACAGCTTTATTAAGCATCCCACAGGCATCGCATCGTGAGAATGTCTCACTTGGTCCGGCAAAATTCGAACTATTTTTTTTAAAAAGGGACTAATTGGCAGTGGCCGCCACTATGGAGGACAAAAAATGAAGTATAAACAAATACAGGAATAAATAAATAAATAAATAATGTGTAAATAAATAAATGTATAGATAAATAAATAAATGTGTGAATAATGTGTACATAAACAAATGTATAGATAAATAAATGTATGAATAGATAAACGCTGAAATAAATATGGAAATAAGTAAATTAATGTATCCATAAATAAATAAAAGTTGATATTCAAACAAGTCATAAACAAATGCATAGATATTTATTTCTAAATTTCTGTTCGCCTGCATTTATTTATGGGTCTGTATCATATGTTTATTTCTACATTTCTGTTTGTCTACATTTCTACATTTATTTATGCGAGCGTCCTATATGCTAATGAGGTGGGAGGTCCTAACCTCTGTCTGAAGCAGAATTGGTCACATGAGTGTGATTGCTCCTGGTCTACCATTTCTATCTTGAAGTTAACTCCTTACAGGAGTTGTTGTTAGCATTTGGCTACATGGTTTTGTTTTTACAAACCATTTAAAATCAATTGTTAGCAAAACGATTTAGAGAAGCAAGGACACTCTTCAGTGTCAGCTGGATAAAGTGTCTGAGGACTTGGAACAGCTCAAAGCGACATGGATGTGGAAGTTGATCAAACAATGTTCGGTCGTCCTGGGGTCTGTTTTAAAGAAACGGGTTTAGTGAGAATTTCGCACTTGTCTGTTTCAGAAAGGGAGGTAACTAAAGCTCAGGGTCAGTCGCCATGGTAACTGAACCTGTGAACCTAACCTGGTCGGAAGCAGGATTTCTTCAATTAACCTCAAGTTTCTTTCACAGTCTCCTCCCTCTGACAGCAGCCCAGCCAATCACACAGCGCACTTTCATTTCCGCATTCATTCAAGTACTCTGTATCAGGCGTATTTTAGCGCAGTTTCCACATACGCACAAAATAAGATGTTACGTTAAAGACTAAAGTGTTTTCTCGGACATGGCACGTCCTTTTCTGGACGATCCTGTTAATGAAGAAGCAGTTTTACTTCGCAGGGTGTTAAATATACGTTGGGAGAAAATAGAGGCCCCGATTAGATATATTGTCATTTCCAGATAACTACTTGTTTGAACGGTATCGTTTTTCTTCACAGTCCATCAAATATGTACATGACCTCACCCGTCCTCATATAAGTAACGTCACTCATTGTGGAAATGCTCTCACATCGGAGCACATTCTTCGAGTAGTGTATTACTTTTTTTGCAAACGGCAGTTTCCTTTACAAGATTAGAATATTAGTAAAGCTGCAGTATGCAGAGCTGTGAGAAATGTGTTCCCTGGACACAAACCAGTGAGAGCCATTAAAGAATTCCACAGGATGCACCTGAATAAAATACATTATAGGTTAAATACCACTGTACCAGTTTTTACCAGCGATATTGTTCTTGTGATTAAATATGAGCATGGGTCTGTATTTCAAGCCTGTGTGTAGTGCATTCTAACGAACAGTGTAAAAACTTGGAATTAGTAAAACGTATAGATTATGATTAGTGTGTACATTGAATATTAACT